AGCTCGTCAAGGGGCGATTTCAAGACAACCTGGACTTCATTCAGTGGTTCAAGAAGTTCTTCGACGCCAACTACGACGGGAAGGAATACGACCCGGTCCAGGCCAGACAGGGCCAGGATGCCATTCCCCCTCCAGATCCTGGGGAGCAGATCTTCAACCTGCCAAAGAAATCCCTCCACGCCGCCTGCTCTCCCACCGCAGGTCTGTTCGGGCTGCTCGTGATTTATTAACAATCATAATTAATCAACTGGCAAATTGACATCTACTAAATGTTGAGCCTCCTGCATCATGGCATCTGTTAACTTGTGTGCAGGAGCTGCTAGATCAACCAGTTCAACCCCTAAATCCTCCACCTCCACCTCCCGACCCTCCTCTGCCAAAAAGATTCCTGTGATGTCAGCGACACCCGCTAAGGGAGAGAAGGAGCTGGAAGCCCAAGTAACACAACTAGGCGAACAGGTGTGACACCCCTAACCCTATTAACACTATTAAACTCTTTAAATAGACCGTTTGAGCAATCAAGAACATAATGGCTATAAGTGCTAAACGAGACCATGAGATAAGATGCTAATTTAGTAGATCAGTTTGGAAGAGATTTGTCTAAATGTATTGTTGCGTTGATTCTTGATACACTACTTAGACAGCTTTTTAGGCAATATCAAAGCCTATATTCCTAGACAGCATATAGGACGCTTAGTGTGATGGTTTCCTTCTTCCTTCATCTTTATAGATCTTCTTACGACATAGGGCTCTTTCAACATCATAGGCATCTTTCTAGATCTTCGACATCATAGGCATCTTTCTAGATCTTCGACATCATAGGCATCTTTCTAGATCTTCGACATCAGGCATCTTTCTAGATCTTCGACATCATAGGCATCTTTCTAGATCTTCGACATCATAGGCATCTTTCTAGATCTTCGGCATCTTTCTAGATCTTTGACATCATAGGGATCTTTCTAGATCTTGCGACATCATAGGCATCTTTCTAGATCTTTGACATCATAGGCATCTTTCTAGATCTTTGACATCATAGGCATCTTTCTAGATCTTGCGACATCATAGGCATCTTTCTAGATCCTCGACATCAGAGGCATCTTTCTAGATCTTGCGACATCATAGGCATCTTTCTAGATCTTCGACATCATAGGCATCTTTCTAGATCTTGCGACATCATAGGCATCTTTCTAGATCTTTGACATCATAGGCCTCTTTCTAGATATTCGACATTATAGGCATCTTTCTAGATCTTCGACATCATAGGCATCTTTCTAGATCTTGCGACATCATAGGCATCTTTCTAGATCTTCGACATCATAGGCATCTTTCTAGATCTTCGGCATCTTTCTAGATCTTTGACATCATAGGGATCTTTCTAGATCTTACGATATCATAAGCATCTTTTTAGATCTCTTTATGACATAGGCATCTTTCTAGATGTTCTTACGACATCATAGGCATCTTTTTAGATCTCTTTATGACATCATAGGCATCTTTTAAGATCTCTTTATGACATCATAGGCATCTTTTAATATCTCTTTATGACATCATAGGCATGTTTTAAGATCTTAAAACAGCCGTCTTTCTAATGTTTTTTCTTACAACATCATAGGTATCTTTTTAGATGCTCGTATGGTATTTTAGGCATCATTCTAAATCTTATGACATGCATCTTTATAGACCTTATCATGACATCATAGACTTTTTATTTTATTTTATTTTTTTACCTGTGATTGACAAGTTTTTGGGAACCTAGTGAACTTTATTCTGACATCATGGACTGTCTCTGCATTTTTGGACTTGCTTACCTTGACAGTTTTTCTTTTTTTTAACATGTGCTGTTAATCTTCTAGACAGCATTTTTGGCCATCAAATCCTGTATTTCTTGACAGCATGTGCTGTTTTATGCATTTTAAACTTTGTGGAGCTTTTTTTGAACATCATAAGCTGTTGACCTATAAAACATTTTTGGGCACCTAGTGAGCTGCCTTGTTAGACATAACTTTCTGAAATCATTTGCATCAAGGCTTTCATTAATAAAAAAAAAAGTAATGCATTGTTAATTATGTACAATAAACAAGTAAAGGACTTTTATTGGAAATGAATTAAATTCTGAAAAGGCTGCTAAAACAGCAAGTAGAAGTGCATCTGCTCAATGAAGAGTTATGTTGTTTAGAAGCATGTCTATAAAGCAATAACCAGCTTTTACTGTCCATTTACACTCTTGTGTCTCTCCACTGCTGTAGCTCAACACATTAAAGCTAGCACTAGAAGGAGTGGAGAAGGAGCGGGATTTCTACTTCGGGAAGCTGAGAGAGGTGGAGCTGTTGTGTCAGGATCAGGGCCAGGACAACGGGCCCTTCGTGGAGAGACTCATGGAAGTGCTGTACTCAGCAGATGACCAGGTTTGTACCTCCCGAGGGATTTTTTTGTCATCAGCACAGTGAGCATACACTGTATTTGTTTATATATTGTACATTTTTACTTTTAATAAAACATCACCTTTTATTATTATTATTAAGCATCACACCTATTTATGTATGTGTGTATTTATTACATTACTTTTTTTTGCTCTTTTGTCTTTTAATAAAACATCACACCTTTTATTGTTATTTTTTTCTTTTAATAAAAGCACACCATTTATTGATGTTTTATTATTATTTGATATTTTCTTTTTAGAAGACAACACAACTTTATTTTATGTATGCAATGCATTCATTCAAACTTTTTTGTGTGTGTCATATTCCAAACTAATTTAGCATTTCCCTTGATGTCCACTTATGATTTTGGACGAGGTAAAAAAAAAAAACGGTCATAATTTAGTTTTTCTTTGTTTCTTTTATCCTCTATCTGTAAATCAGAATTAAACAGGCTATTTTTCTATAAATGACCTGTTATTGTTAACATACTGCATACTACTACTTTAGTTCAAACTTTAATTCAATACTGAATAGATGTACATCAAATCGGTCACAACTCAATGTACTTTTTATTTGTGACTTCATAAGTATGATTTCTAAAGGACCCATTTGATCTTGTTTTTTGTGATATGACCGCATTTGTCGCATATGTAGTGCAGTTTGTCACGATTCATGACACTAAATAAAAGACTGGTTTAAGATATGTTGTTAAACTACTATACTAGGACAAACTGACATTATCTAAAATGCCAAGATCCCCCTAAATAACTAACAAACAACTGTGTGTGTGTGTGCAGGAGGCCGGCGGAGAGGAACACGAGGCTCCGGCTCAGGAGGAGGACGTTCCTGACGACACACAGGACGAATACTGAACACACATGCACTCAGTCAGAAAACTACTTTGGGTTCACTTTCTCAAACTCATGACGGTTTATTTCTCATTTGCTCTGGTGTTGAAGGAGAGAGACAAATTGGCCAAATATTCAAAGGTGTCTTTTGTCAACTTGTTTTCTTCATTAGCCCTGTTTAATTGCATCACGACTATTATGAACATGTATCTGACAGCAGCTTAAATGGTGACTCTTGTTCGTGTAAAGCCCTTGATAACGACCACTGCGCAGCAACTACATTTGGTTTTTACTTTACCATACTCTTTCATCTCGCTACACAGATGAAGGAAAATTGATTTCTTAAGCTGTTTGTTTTTAGATGTGACATCAAATCATGAAATTTAAAAATACCGCAATAAGAGTAGTTTAAAGAGCTACCAATACCATTTGTGAAATAAAACCCGTTAGATTCCTTACAAAAACTGACCATTGGTTACTATAGTAAATTTTGCATTGGAATATAATGCATACTGCATTTCATTTGGAAACGTTGCTCTGTTTTTTACCGTATTAGATTATATACAGTATATATATAATTTTTTTTTTTTTTTTTGTCTAAATGTGTCTCAACTTCACAGAGGTGGAAGCCAATCACAGTGTTTGATAGGAAGCATTTCATTTGAACTGTGCAATCGGTATTCTGTGTCTAAACATGTTTTACTTTATATGTACAGTAAAAAAAACGGCCATCATCTGAAGAAAACAATGCATATTGAAGAATTTTTTTAACTGTTGTTCTAAAGCACAGGTTTTAGTGTAAGATCTTCTGAACAGAAAACATTCTCGTGATCTCCTGATACTCGTCAATATTCTCCACAGGTCAACGCTTATGTCATTTATTATTGTGTACAATGAAAAGGAATGTAAACATATGTACTGTTAATAATTATAAATAGACAATGTTTTTTTTTATTTCCCTCACAGTATCTCCCCTTATGCATTCCCCAAATGTGTTGCATGTTTGCATTTTATTTGTGAATAACTTGACCTGCTTTTTACATATTTAATAAAAAAGAAGAAAAAAAACCCTAATTATGTTAAATGTTTTTTTTTTTATGTTTAACTTGCTGTTTTAAATCTCTGAAGATATGGATAGACTTGCACTAATAAAACCCTTTCATTTTCAAAAGGAAGAAATTATTGGTTTTTATTATGAATAAGTTGCCATTTATCTAGGGTAAAACGATTCGTTTTGTCCACTACTGTAGACATGGTTTATTTAATATCTATGAGATTATGCATTCCACTGTTTTAAGTAGTTTAAATATCTTACATGTATATATATTTCTTACAATAAAAGAAATATACAACTCCCGAGTTGTACTTTTTCATAACAGCTGACATCACACAAATCAACACGTTTTATGGAAAAGGGAGCATTAGGTTTATTATTTTCATTTAATATTTGAATGATTTTCAATTTCTTTTCATATGAGCAAACGTCTTAAGAGAACAGAGTAGGATGTCTTTGAAAATAAAAACTATTCGTTCGTTTGTTCGTTCATAATGATTATAAAAACCATTGCATCGATTTTGTACTATGTATTTATGTATTTATTTATTATTTTGTCAGCTTTGGAGTTCCATATGCAGTAGCAGTGCTAAGCCTGAGAGCGTTAAATGACTCTGATGACCGCCAGGTGTCAGTAGTGCGCAGAGTAATAAACCAAAAGAGCGGGAGAGACGAACCGAAGAAGAAACTGACTGTGCAGTTTAGTGAACTACAGCCCAACAATGTAAACAGTTATAATAAGCCCTGTTTGAGGAAAAATTAAGTCATAACATGATGGCCAAGGTAAGCGATCAATAAACACTTTGTAAACACACTTTCTCAAACTTTGTAGTTGTTTGGGAGAACCATTTGTATGCTTTTATTCACTGTCATTCCATTCGAAGTGTATTTATCCACTGCACAACATGCAGAAGTAATGAAAACTCCGGAGAACTAGAAATATAAATCACAAAATTAAGCTAGAGGGGGGGGAATTAAAGCAACCAATATATTAATATGCATATACATTTTCATTAAAAAAGTTGGACACACCTACCTTATTCTATTTTCGTATTTTCCATATTTTAGAAAAATTGTTGTCATGCAAACTGAAATAACATAACGTTACGTTGTAAATTATGTAGTGACCATAAAATGTTAATCAAATAATATCAAAACTACTAGTACAAACCTATTTTCCAGTGACCTCCCTTTGTCTAAATTAACAAAATGTTAAGCAAATATAAATCAAAACTACAAACCTATTTTCCAGTGACCTCCCTTTGTCTTAATTAACAAAAAAATTAAAAGTGAACCATTTATATATATATATATATATATATACCTCCATGTTTGTGTGTATGTGGTTTCAGCGTAAGAGAAACCTGGACATGAGGTGTGTGTTATTCCCAGACGATTTGAAGGACACTTTCAGAAAGGCGGGAAAACCCTCTGCCAGAACATCCACACCTGCCACCAAGAGCTGGGAGAGATGCGGGGACAGTTTCCTGGACACATCTGTCGTCCAGGTGTGTTACGCTACGTAGACGTCACGTCATGCTGTTGCTCTTCTACACAAATGCACTGAACGTCATGTGTTTGTATTTCAGAAGCTGCAAACATCAGAGAAGGAGAGCAGAAATGCACATAATGGGGCTCTGGCGTCTGTGTCTGGTAACACAACCGATTGATCAATCTATAAAGTGTGAAATTAATAGTCATTCAGAGATTTACTATTAGATGAGAAGTGCAACAATATCATCAATTAGATATTCTGTGTTCCATATATTTACACTAGTATTCAATTTAGGTCTTGGTAAGATAAAAAAAAAAAACATGTTTTTTTTTGTTTGTTGGTAAAACTAATATTATGAAGTATTCAATTTAATAAATATTAATATATTGTTTTCTATTTGAATATATTTTTAAATGTAATTTATTCCTGTGATGAAAGCTGAATTTTCAGCATGATCCTTCAGAAATCATTCTAATATGCTGATTTGCGGCTCAAGAAACGTTTATTATTATTATCAATGTTGAAATCATTTATGCTGCTACATATTTTTCAGGATTCTTTAATAAATAGAAAGTTCAAAAGAACAGCATTTATTTGAAATATAAATCTTTTGTGAACACTTTTGATCAATTGAATGTGTCCTTGCTGAATAAATGTATTGATTTAAGGGAAAAGAGATGCTGGCACAGATGAACCGGTGCACATTGCCTGGAGCTCCAGTGAAGAGGAAGAAGCAGACAATGATAGTCATCCTCCTCCTCGACTGACTGTCACACAGGCACCACATCGGCCCAGAGCACACAAACAACATCCTGTTGACTATTACAGGAATCTGCGGATGTTCAGCACTGGCGTAGGTGAGAACAGAGTTGGTTTTGATGATGAATATGAATACACCAGGAGTTTAATTTGACCCATAGTTTCAGGGTTCAACAATAAGGGTGGCTTGTTGGCCCAAGGCGAGTGTGACAGTGTTTTGGGCCATCATGTATGCATATTTTTGATCATGTACGCATATTTTTGCTTTACACAATTTAAAATGTTGTGAATTTTCAACTAGGTTAAATTATCTGACTGGCTAAATTGCCATAATTTTCTAGGTGTTTATGGAACTCATGGCTGTCTTTGAGTTGCCTACTATAATTTCTGGCTATTATTGATAATTGTCTTTTAAAAGTAAAAAAAAAAAAAAAAATGTATAGGGAAAAATATGTGATAAAAATCAAGATTTTTAAAATAAATGTAATAATTATAAATCAAACATTAGATATGTAAAATTATGATTTATAATTTAAATATTTTTTTGTGTGTGTTGGGGCAGTTGGCATGTAAAATTTTTAACTACTATCCTGACATTGCAAGCAACAAAAAAAATCCTTACTCTCTGAAATACATGTTGAATCATGTACAAATATCAGATGAAATCCCAAAAAATACAATACAGTTGCTCTAGATGGCAGCATTTAATAGAAGTTAGCTTGGTTGTAGTAAAGAATATACAGTTTTGAGTTCCTTTTTTTAGAATTCCTAATTATTTCTCAGTTAAAGAGTATTAAAGTTCATATTACTCAACAAGTGTAGTGTGATTATTACTTGACAAGTGCTATCAGGAATGTGGAATGATGTAAAAATGTTCTCGTACAATCTTAAGCTCTGGCTGCAGTTCTAGATGTTCATAACTGAAGTTTACTTAGGTAATTAACTGTAGCTTGTTATGTAATCCAGATAACACATGATATTATCTGCTGCATTTCCCTCAGAGACAGATGACCTGCCCTCTATTGATTCAGACAGCGAATTGGAGGAGGACAATTCAGCTTCAAAAGAGCACAGTGACTTTCTAAATCCTGTTCCGGTAAGTCAAGTCAAGTCACCTTCATTTATATAGCGCTTTTAACAATATGGATTGTTTCAAAGCAGCTTTACAGTGATTACAGTACCAGAGATTGTTTTGGCTTTACAGCAGCTCTAGAATAAAGTTATTGTCCAGCTAAAGTTAGTTTTGATTGATTGATTCACTTCAGTTACAAAGATCATTAGTTATTAACTTGGGGGCCGCTAACACGACATCGTTCTAACAGAAAACACGTTTATAGTATGTTATGTTTTATAGTTTTACATTGGCAGAATAATTTTACATGTATTAAAAGTAATTTCATGTTAACTTTTAAAAGAAGAACACAAATATTTTTAAATAGGGGGAAAAAGTAAAATATTAAAAGACAGATTTAAAGGGATAGTTCACTTTGAAATTAATTTTTGATATGTTTTAGCTTACCTCAAGGGCATCCAAGATGTAGGTGTCTTTGTTTTAGGGCTGTCAACGAATATTCTAAATTCGAATATATATTCGAATAGTTTTAAAAAACAGAAATTCGAAGGTGAAAATTAATATTCTAATCATGTGGAAAAACACGCGCGCGGCTGTCTGCTTTGCGAGTGACAAAATTCTGAAGCTTAAAATGTAAAACGCATTTTCCAGCTGCACAGCTAGAACAGCGAGTGTCTGGCTCACTCATTGGCTGTGCTGCGGCAACTGCACATCCAATGGCACGGGCGCCTCCAACGTGTGCGCCAATGAGCTAGCATTACATCAGACACGTCAGAGCCCGCCAAGGGGGCGTGGCCAGAGCCCTCGAAATAGCCATAGTAGCAGGCTAGCTAGCAGCAGTTTACCACAGCACAGCTCGCTCGGAGCGTTCAATGTTGGTTCTATATACTGTAAAACTTTAATTAATGTTAATAATATTTGTTTCAATCACCGAATGAAGCCTGCTATATTTAGGACAAGAGTCGCGACCTTAAATTGCTTGCACAAAACTCTTGATCAGCACTCAACATTTGTTTATTGTTGTTCATTTAAACCATTATGCGCAGAGAGCGAGAGAGAGAGAGAGAGAGAGAGAGAGAGAGAGAGAGAGAGAGAGAGAGAGAGAGAGAGAGAGAGAGAGAGAGAGAGAGAGAGAGAGAGAGAGAGAGAGAGAGAGAGAGAGAGAGAGAGAGAGAGAGAGAGAGAGAGAGAGAGAGAGAGAGAGAGAGAGAGTGCCTGCGAGTGCGAGCGAGAGTAAGGTCTGCGGTCTTGGCCATTAGTTGATTTACTTGGTTTTGTGTAAGTTAATACGTTGTCAAATATGTTTAAACTTAAATAAACTACCTATACAAGTAGTTGTGTCTCTTTGTATTCATTTGTCCTGTTATTGACGTAATGCGCGTCATTGACAAAATGCGCAACCAGATATTCGAATAGTTCGAATATATGTGTTTTTTTTAGAGGGAATATTCGAACGTCATTTTTGAGCAATTTTGACAGCCCTACTTTGTTTCCGCAGTAATTTCAATTTTGATATTTTTAGGTCAAACCGTTCTTGTCTGTCAGTCATATAATGCAGGTCTATGGTCACCACCTCAAAGAGCATGCACAGAGAAGTCCAAATTAAACATGATTTAATGACTCGTAAATGTAAGTACACATTGATGGCCTAAGACACGAAACGAGCGGTTTGTGTGAGAAAACGAACAGTATTTATATCGTTTTTACCTCTTGTAACCACAGCCACGACCAAGTGATCTGAGGGCGCGGGCGCTTCGGTCTGTGCGTTACATGACTGACAGACAAGAACGGTTTGACCTAAAAATAACAAAATTTAAAATACTGCGGAAACAAAGACACCTACATCTTGGATGCCCTTGAGGTAAGCTAAAACATATCAAAAATGTATTTCAAAGTGAACTATCCCTTTTAAGGAGAAAAATGGGACCATGTGAGATATAGGACGCACTGTTGTTCACTAGGGGGCGCTAGGATTCCTCGGATGAGACGTCTTGAAGGAATCACCAGGGTTCTCAATGTCTCTGCTCCTTTTAGGACTGACCTTTGGCTCAAATATTTATTTGCAACCTTACTTGGTAATATTTGGCATTTTGTGTCACTCAAGTCATCTGATTATAAGATCAAATGTGGCTTAGCGTCATATTATTTTACAAAACAACATGACACATGAAATGAAATAATAATAAGACATTAGTTTAATGTAATTAATGCTTGTCTAACTCAGATCTGTTGTTTTGCCAGTGCACACAATGCGTCTAATTTCCATTATGCATCTTATAATGGTATATCATGACCTGGTTTCACAGACAGGGCTTAGATTAAGCCAGGATTAGGCCTTAGTTCAATTAGGGCATTTAAGATAGTTTTTATAAACATGCCTTAGAAAAAACCATCACTGGTGTGCATCTCGAGACTAAACATTGACAGTGACGCATTTTAAGATATTTCAGTGCAAGTTGCTTTTAGTTAAAACAGCTTAAACATGCATTTTAGCCTGGGATAGGTTTAAGCCTTGTCTGTGAAACCGGCCATATGTGTAGTACATATTATCTGAAAGCCGAAGTAGTCTTTGCTGAGATGTCTTAGACATGCTAAATGAAATAAAGCTAAATGAAGTATCTTTAGATTAGATTAGATTTAGATTAGAAATATACCCATCATCATTAATCGTGCATTATGAACTGTGAGTTTTGTGAACTGAGAATGTAAATTAGATGAGGCAATGAAGGTATGTTAGGAAGTTAATAATTATCTGCCTAGCTTAACACTAATTGTCATGAAGTGGTTACGATTTGTGTGGAGAACAAAGCAGTTTCAGGTTCAGTCCTCAGTAGATTCAACAACTGGAGAGATACTGAGATCTCAGTCCTGCTCTCATCAATGTGATCGTGAGCCGGACGCTTAAAAACGATAAAAATGAGAAACCTGTCATCATTTACTCACCCTCATATGGCTCTCGTGGAAAATGTCTCAGTATTCGAAGAATGTTACTGCTTTTGTCTATACAAAGAAAGTCAATGGGGTCCAAAACATCATTGGATCCCTTTGACATTTGAATGGACAAAAGCATTTGCAACATTCTTCCAAATATCCAAATTCTTTTGTGTTCAAGTCATGCAGTTTTGGAATGACAAAATGGTGAGTGAATGATGAATTTTCATTTTTGGGATAAACTATTTTAAATATATCCTGATTTAATGTTTTAGAACAGGAACGTTATTCCCAACATCTGTGTCATCAGCAATGACATCATGAAGTAGTCTACCTTATGCTAGTGACCTTCGACCATGATTATCATAATTCATCATGATGCATCGTGTTGCCAGTAATCGTGAATTGCACCATTATGACATGAACTGCAATTCAATTCAGACTGTGTGCTGGCTATATAGTTCCTTCTATCTCGCCAGATATGATTGTAAAGCGCTTTGGGTGAACAGTAGAACATAGTAAAGTGGTAATTAAATGATTCGTTCATTCATTCATTCGTTCATTCATTCATTCCTCTGCTTCCTGGAAAGGCAGTGGTTGGCAAGTTTGTCATGTTAAAGAGATGTTATCCAGCACTGTGTAAACACAGCTGTGAAATGACTAATTCATAGTTTTTAAGGCATCACAACACACAGCGGAAAATGCTTGGGTCATCGGATAAAAAAAATTAACCTAACCCTAATAATAAATACATTTATTTCAAAATTAATTACATTTAAAACATAATATAAAATATTAATATTGTTTTAAAAAATAATGATATAAATAATTCAATCATTAATAATTCAATATTAAATATTACTCTCAGTAATTCACTGTAATAAAACAATCAAATTGCAGTTGTTTCAAATCATGTTTTTCTTTGTGAGCGAACCCGTATTTAATGTATTTCTTTAAATAATATTTTCTTTTAACCTGGTGTAGTTTTGTTTATGGTTTCTGAGGATGAGGGTATGTCACTGAACCTGTCCATTCTGTCATTTGCATTATGTATTTATCATTACCAAATGACAGGTGAATTTGTGCCAAAATGCCAGAGTTTGATTGATAGCCTTTGGCGTCAACAACAGAAGATATGGGAAGAATTATGTGCATTTAACATTGTTGGTTTTTTTAAAATGTTTTTTCTGCTGATCAGAACAGACCAGTTTTTTTCAGAATCACTACTAATGTAAAACATCTTTTAAACATTATTTTTGAATTTCCTCAAGGTGTCACTAAGGGTTTGAATGAATGATGCTGAAACATCTTTATCTTAAACGTCTGTCAGCCTTGGACTCATCCAAATCACAGCTATGTTTAGCACTTACTCCCATGCATCCTTTTTAAAGTGTCTTTTAAATCAGCCCCGCTTCCTGGATTCAAGATTGAAACCATTTGTTTAAAAAAAACAACTGATTGTTTACTTGCCCGGCTTTCACAGGAAAATCGTTTTGGGTCCATTTACAGGAAGAGTGGAAAAAACAGACTTGCGTCTAGATGTAATGTGTTTATTGCACATTTAATTGTGTTGCTTAATTTCTCAATTTACTACACCTTTGTTTCTACCCATAATCCTTATGTCTTCCTGCAATTGCAAATCAAATTCGGGCGTCCTTGGCGCTGACACGCTTTTCTGTGGCCTGGCATCCCTCTCCGTTCAGCTCCGTGATCGTCCTGTTCCCGCTGGTTTGGGAACTGCCCCTATATGACGTATCTGGAGTGATAGAATTGATAGAGCGAAAAGTTTGTGTACTCCTCCATTCACTTTGAGCCAGTGCAGGGTGAACACATTTTTGAGCCCGGGCCAGGAACATAGTGTACTGCAGAGAGAGAGAGAGACAGAGAGCGCGTGTAGTGCACTGTTCGCTGGCAGGCTGCCCTGCAGGGTCAAGTTGATTCAAATAAAAGAGTGTGTAGGCTGTTTGGCGGGCTGGAATGCCGTTCGTGTCTCCACATGATAAGGAGGCAGACGATTTTTTCCCCTGAGAAAACCAGTTTGTGACAATGCAGCCACACAAACACTCACACACACACAAAACCCCCTCCCATTCCCTTACATCTGTCGTTTACGACCTGTCATAAGGTAAATGACTCGTATATCACATATCATCAGGTCTCATGAAGGCCCTGGTCATATCTTCAGGTCTATCTTTGGAATTTATCTTCTCTTTCTTTGTCTATTGTTTGTTTGAGGGTGTGTGCTTTTTCAGGGCTGGATGTCCCTCGTCACATCTCTCAGATTGCCTTGTAGATTTTCCCATAATGCATTTGGAATCAATTCTTTAATTTTCACAAAGGGCTGTAGAATTTGCTTGTGTCACAGCAAAGGGGCTGTTTACACCTGACCACTTCATGCGTTTTCTCTGATCGGATAGCTTTGATTTCCCAGTGTTCAGTGCACAACAGAGCATGAGAAAAAGCATATATGTATAACATATGTTCCTCTGGACTGTCTGTGGAAAAGCTGTAATTTGCAGGCCTGGAAATTTGCCTACAAATAAATATATATACTGCTGATCAAAAGTTCAGTAAGATTTTTAATGTTTTTAAAATAAGTCTTTTCTGCTCACCAAGGCTGCATTTATTTGATAAAAAAAACAGTAATATTGTTAAATATTATGACCATTTAAATAACTGTTTTCTATAATTTATTCCTGTGATCAAAGCTGAATTTTCAGCATCGTTACTCCAGCCTTCAGAAATCATTCTAATATGCTGATTTGATGCTCAAAAACATTCATTATTATTATTAATGTTGAAAATGTTAATTATTAATGTCCATTTTTTCTTTGATAAATATAAAGTTCTATCTGAAATATAATATTTTGTTACATTATACATGTCTTTACTGTAACTTTTGATCAATTTTAATGCATCCTTGCTGAATAAAAGTATAGATTTCTTTTATTTCTTCACCCTCCCCTCCAAAAACAATTCTCACTGACCCCAAACTTTTGAACGGCAGTCTCTATAATGTTACAAAAGCTTTCTGTTTCAGATAAATACTGTTCTTTTGAACTTTATATGAATACACTGTTTAGATTCAGTCTTTCTATATATTATGGTCTCTGCTTCATCTTTAAATGTAAGTCTTTGACATTTTATTTTGTACGCCTGTTTTGTCGCCGATTTATTATTTATTTGAAGAAACCCTTAACCCTAAGTATGAGCAATAATAACAGTGATTCTTGCTTTAGCAAACACCAATGCTCACAAAGCCAGTGATTTTAGATTTAGTAACTAAAAGGCAAGTGTCGGACGTAGGAAGAATGGGTAGGTGTTGCGTGTGGATTCAGAGTTCAGTGGCAGTACTTAGGAAGAGTGATTCAAAGCCTTTTCCAGAGGCCAGAGGCTGAAATGAATGCAGTGCTGGATCGGCAGACGCTTGGGCCCCTTGGGAATTACCATATGTGCAGCAGGATAGATTTAATGGGAGATCACTTAGTTCTTGTTGTTTTTTTGCGTCCCACCTTTACCCTTCTCACTTATTTTCTTCTCTAGCATCCATGTGAAATGTGAATTTGAATGATGATTGTGTTGTACAAGGTACTGGTTTATAGATATTCAGATTTTTGGCTGTTGTTTTGGTGGCCCTCAGCCATCTGTAATGACTTGTTTTTGTTCATTTTTAAGGCTCAACTTAATACTGTGTTCTGGCTTTTATATCCCAGCATGATGTTTTTGTGTGTGAATAAGGTAAAAACACAGGCTGCCATTTTGTAACACCTGTTTAGTCCATAATTTCACTTTGACACCATGGCGGCAGCCTGTCAGGCGGCGTCACTCAGGTACCATAATTTGTGTAATTGACTGTGAACCAAGAGTTTGATTGATGAGAGTTTGAAGAGATTGAACGCTAAGGGTGTCCTTAAAGGTCCTTAAAAGTCTTTGGAAACTTTCAATCACAATATTATGTCAATGTTATTAAGGCTTGCAATCCTGAAATCAGTTCCTCTGTGGGTTTATTGCTGTGATTCTGAAATTTGACTTTGCACTTGTAATGTTCATCAACATTAAAGGGATAGTTCACCCAAAAATGAAAATGTTGTCATCATTTACTCACCGTCAAGTTTTTTCAAACCTGTATGAATGTCTTTCTTCTGCTGAACACAAAAGAAGATGGAAACAGTTGATGGATTAATCGTTTTCCATACTTTGGATGTCAATGGGGTCTGGTTACCGACATTCTTCAAAATATCTTCTTTTGTGTTCAGCAGAAGAAAGACATTCATTCAGGTTTGGAACAACTTAAGGGTGAGTAAATGATGACAGATTTTTCATTTTTGGGTGAACTATCCCTTTAATGTTTGACAATAAAATGAACATTAAAAGTGCAAAGTCAAATTTCAGAGTCACAGCAATAAACCCACAGAGGAACTGATTTCAGGATTGCAAGCCTTAATAAGATTTACATAATATTGTGATTGAAAGTTTCCAAAGACTTTTAAGGACCTTTAAAGACACCCTAACTATCCCTTTAAGGAAGATCTGTGTGAGGCAGACGTCACATGTCTTCCAGGACTATTCAACCTTGAGCTATGATGCTCATATGGATAGTGCAGGTTTCAATCTGACAATTATTTATCATGTATCATATTCCATTCTCTCTCCCCAAATAATTTATTTTCTAATAAAAGGACAGTAATAAACTAATAAAAGGCAAAAAGTATTCAAATGTCCTTTCATGCTTGTGATGATCCACATTCGTAAGTGACTTTGGAGTAGTGTTAAGTATTACTATTTTTATACTATATTATAGTATTTATTCATATTTTGAGCTAGGGTTTATATTTTCAGTTTTCATATTAATTTAAGTTTTAGTACTTTTTTATATCCTTTTTGTCGTTTTAATTTTTATTTTTTAAAATTTATTTTACTTTAACAATAACTACACTGCTGTGGATAAAAGCATCTGTAAAATGACTAAAACTATCCTCTCTGTTTTAGCCAGCAGCTGAGATTTCAGACTACTCGTCTTATGACGATAGTGATGAAGATCCAGAAGAAAGCAGAGCAGACTCTTTCCCTCTGGACCCAGCCGAAACCAGCAAGCAGTCGGTCAGCGAGTGGGTTCGATCCGCTCAGGCCATTCTTCGGACACCTCAGAAACAAATCGCCAAGAGCGCCAAGACCCCAGAGGACTCGAGTAAAAAGAGGAGGAGATTTGAAAGGTATGATCTATGGTGCTTGTATCTTAATCTTCATTTCAGTGCAACCCTGTGCAAGATGAACTTAAATTATGAGTTCAGTGACTGGCTTTATGATTAGGATTTATCGTCTTAACTGAAAGTAATCCATCACACTGCTATTCATTCTTACTGGGCTTTTTTCAACCCCCAATGTTTGACGTCAAGTTCACAACCCGAAAATTCATATCAGTGTAAACACACCGAATACAAAAGAGTTCAAAGTCTAGCAGAAGCCGTTTAATAATACATCCACACCCTTACCGTAAAAACCTGGTCAGTTTGGTTTTTGATTGGCTATCGAGGAGCGGTTTCTTTGCACATTTGTATCACCTTATTTAATTTACCAGAACACTTCCTCCTATGCGCATAAGACACAGCTCCGAATGCATAATACTTTGGCCTTTTTTTCTTATATTACTCAGTAGTCGCTTTCTAGTGGCCATGAAAGATTGAGTACTACTGATGACATTTTTACCATAAATGAGTCGTTTGTCCGATTTTGTGAATGGGAGAGGAAGGACATGTAGAGTTTGTCCCCTCATGGGGGAGCTGTGTCTCTTTTTGGCTCTTGTTAGTCCATACATCCTTCTGCTGACCCTCAGTCCCTTCTGCAGGCAAGCACAGGATAAGTCGTCCCCTGCCTGTGTCTGTTAATGTGGCTTTTCATGTTTCATCATGCTTTAATATGACTACACATATAAAGATTATAGCATACATATTCACTACCACCCACTTAGCATACATAGCATACATAAAAACTATAAAAATGAACACATAAACAAAGCAAATAACAGTTAAGTGCAAGCAGAATGGTGGAGCTTATAACTAGCCTGTCACAAATTTAAGCCAAGTTTTATGAAAGACAAAATGTTTTATAAATATGGATACATTTACAGTGTGAAGTATAATATATAGATTTTCGTGAATATAGATTTGATTGGTTTCTCTATGATTTATTCTCTATTTGATTCTGTTATGTTTCGATTCAGATTGATTCTAAATGGAATTAATTCAATGGCATTGGTTCTAATTGATTCTCTATGACTCATGCTATGTGATTGATTCTAGTTGATTCATTCTCATTGATTCATTCTATAGAAATGAATCTCGTTTTTTCTTTATCATTAATTGTATTGATCGATATCATGGAATTAAATCTAACTCATTCTCTAAATCTAAGTCTATGGGAATGAATGCTTAACATTCATTCTGCAGGATTTTTTATAATCTTGAATATATGGTATTTGTTCTTTGTGAGTTATTCCATGTGATTGATTTTATATGAATGATTCCATGTGGCTGATTCTATGTTTGATTCTCCGTCTTTGATTCTATAGAATTGATTCAAGTTGATTCTCTTTATGGAATTGATTCAATGAGATTTATTCTAGTTTATTCTCTATAAGTCATTCTATGTGATTGATTCTAGTTGATTCAGTCTGATTCATTATTTAATACTATATGAGTGATTCCCATTATTCTTTATCATTGATTAATTGATTCATATTCAAATGATTCTGTTTGACTGATTCTATGTGACACTGTGATGGGACTGAATTCATGTGATCTCTCTCTTTATAGAGGAGGTCTTGCTGAAAGGCTCAACCGACTCCACAGCAGGCAAAGATCAGCCATCAGCTTCTGGAGACATCAGTGCAACTCAACCACATCAGCTGGTAAGACACATCCAGTCTGAATCATGTCTGTTTATGTGAAGACTCAATAATGAATGTCGGCCAAGTGCAGATCCTTTAGAGGTTAGTTCTCTGTTGCTGACCACTAATGATAATATTATTAAAAATGCTTTCACAATTTAAATGTAAATCTTCTCATTTAAATACTGCCAATGTCTGATCAGGCCTAATATGCACCAGGAAAATATTTAACCACCAACCCGCAGTTTTCATATTTCCATAATTGCTTGTCACACTTGATGAAATGTGTAGAATATTCCAGTGATGAGATCTCTGTGTACAGTTGGAGGAGTAGGAGGCTGTAAACACCTCAGGTGACAACAGGACTTAATTGTCTCTCAGCCGAAGCGACAGGAAACCACAGACACAAACACAATGCAGACACAGTCACACACTTTACGTTTTCATTTTCCATGGTATAACGGATTTCTTTTCAAACAGTGCCCTACTAAGGGGTCTTCAGCATGTGAAGTTTGTGTGTGTGGAGGTTTAAAGAAGTTAACGTTCCAGTTGAAAGTGGAAATTCAAGAAAAAACTTATGAGGAAAGTAAACGTGTGTGTGATGCACTGAAACTGCAAAGTCGTTTAATAAATAGTATAATAAATAGAATAATTAGTTGATTACAGTTGTTATTCATCTAAATCTTTTTTTTTTTCTGAAATGTAGTGGGTTAATGATATTCTAGCCTTGAATGTCTGTCTTTCCACGTTAACTGATTCATTGCATTGCATACTTGTGGATGTAATGTTAGCTGACTAAGATGACTTCTGAATTTAGTTCTCAAGCAATTTCCATTCACGTTTACTTGTGGAAAAAGGATTTAGGGTGACATAGTTTATGGACAGCTTTGCAACTGGCATAATTCCTTCGAAAATTCCTCAGCCTGAGGAACGCATCTCCCACTCACTTCTTGCTCATTGAAAGATTTATTATTGTCTATTTTTTATGCACCACATATTAGCTGATAAATCACATATCAGTATGTGCATTTAACAACTTGGTCATTTCCTTTTCCATAACTGTTTTTGGCACTATTTAACCCCCGAAAAAAGCCAGTGTTCCATGTATTTTTGTTTTGTGATTGCATGGAGTAAACATAGCCTGTTTCTCTCGCTGCTTTCAATTTTTCACTAAAATTTCCATTACACATCGTTCAGAAGTTCTTCTCTGAAGTCTTGGCTGTGCTCGCAATGATTTCAGCTGAGTCAATTGTGTTCATGTGTCCAGTCGAGGGGGCCAAGTTTTCCTTAAACAGTCAGCATGGGAATATATCCTGTCAGAGAGCTGGATTTTGTTTCATTTCCTCAGAACTGACTGAAATGAAAAAGTTGAGACCGCGCCAGTGTGAGTTTTCACAGCATAACCCAAAATATCCTGCTGCTGTTATTAATTTACTGGGCCTGTATCGTATCTGTGTTGTTTTGCAAAACTAAATGACTTTGAGAAGGAAACAGTCTTTCAGATGCTGGTCATTTAATAAAATGTAAAGCTTACTTATATCACGGTTCCCCACGGGTCCTTGAAATCCTTAAAAAAATTTGTGAATCTGAAAAAAATAAATTCAAGGCAAGTTTTTGAACATAAACATGCATAGATACAGGTCCTTGAAAGTGCTTGGAATTTATTTTGTGCAAGAAGTTTTCTGGAAAAAACTTCGTGGCCTATGCATACTAGTTTGCTTGATTTACGTTAGTTACACTTCGTTAAGTGTTTCCCCCGTATTTACGTGTTACTTTATGTGTTTCCTGCGTGAGTTACTTTGTGTTGTACGTTCCCATGTCGCGCACACGAAACTACTATGTACCATAGTACCGATGATACCTCAACGTTTGTCGGACACAACAAATGTGCCCCCACATTAAGTCCTTGAATTTGAAGGTATTGGACCTGGAAAGTAATTGAAAGGTCCTTGAATTTGAAGTTAACCAAGTTATATGCTAATTGTTCATGTTGTATTGTACCTAACTGTATTTAAAAATATAATTATAGTTATTAAGTCAAAATTAGGACTTCAATTGAAACATGGACAAATAAACTGTCCATGTACAGATGTACTGTTTCATACATGCACTTCTTTGACCCAAGCTGACAGGCCAGGTGTCCTCACGCTGAGGATTCTGGGAGTTCGAGAGGAATGTGGCATGCAGGCCACAGTGTGTGACAGGCTGCCGGAGGGGGAAAGGTGTGTGGCTCTTTTCAACAAAGCCACGGCCGCCCAGCTACAGCCTGTGCCCGGAGACATCGTCCACATCTACCCACCCTGGTAAATTCTGTTCTTTAACATATCACCATAAAATATCAGAAATAGCATTCGTTTATTATCTCTGACAATGATAGTCGATACTGTTATTTTTTATTCAAACAATCTTAGGCAATTCATGGATTACTGACATAATACACTTGATTTTGACAGTCGTTTAAATACATATATGTATTTTTAAATTTTGTGTATTATTAGTATATTAAGCATTTAATCAAACATTAACCATAATTATCAAACTTGTACTACGGACATGTATGATGCTTCAGTTTGTGTGGATTGTTGAAGAAAGGTGTACTATTTACTCATGTGATTGGACTTTTAATTTTCAACCAGAAATCTATAAAATTGGCACAAAATACACTTTCAACTCCTAGTAATCACACAGAACACATTTTTTTCTTTATTAAATGCTTTGATTATAATCAATACAGTTGAATTAAACATTATATTTCTATTGAAGTCAAGTCACCTTTATTTATATAGCACTTTATGCAATATTGTTTCAAAGCAACTTTACTGTGATAACATGAAAATGATTCAGTGATGCAAACTAAGTTCATTTTTCAGTTCAGCTCTAAAAGAAAAGAGTGTCATTGTTCAGCTGAAGTCAGTTTCAGTGTTGATTCAGTTCCATTGTAAAGATCATCAATTATTAAATTAGTTAATTTCATCTATAAAGGAGTTCTGTAGAAAACAGTGATGTCATCATCCAGCTCAGTTCTCATCCAATAGTGTCAGTGCAGTCGGATCAATAATATTGCTGAATATTAAGTGTCCCCAACTAAGCAAGCCAGAGGCGACAGTATTCTTAGATATTTTTCTATTACCTGGTTGTTTACATTTTATTTATTTATTTTCTTAATATTTCATATAGTTAGTTTAAATTTTGTATACATTTTTTTTTGGTTTTCAAAGCTTCATTTCTAATTAATTTTCTGCTTTGTTTTGCCTGCTGGATTTAAAAAAAAAAATTTATTTCATCATAATTTCATCACAACTTGTGTCTAGATTACTTGTATTACGTAGCATTGATGCACATTTCCCTATATCTTCTGTGATGATTAGTGATGAATCACTCTTCAAGCAGTAAGCCGCAGGTTGGCAGGAACGGTCTTGTGTGTTTTGCACAGAGCTGATAAGAGCGAGAGGCCTGCGGGGCTGGAGGTGACAGAGACAGACGAGCCAGTCTCCATCTGTGTGGGAGGACCACAGATCCACGGATCAGTCCAAACCAGAGAGGCCAGGACTCGCCGGAAGCCAGGGTCCCGCCCCTCTCTCTCTCTCTCCCCCGTATCGCCCCCATGTAGCGTAGCTCCCACGTCATTCCTCAGCTCCAGGGAATGGCCTGCATACCTCTTCCTGGCAGCTCTGAGCTCATTTCCAGCAAGCTGGGAAAAAACATTGCTGGATCCTTTTTCTTCCCTCGCCTTTTTCTTTCTCTGGGTTTTTTTGTGAGGAGCGTTAGGCTGCGGATCACAATAACTGTGACAGAGGCCAGAGAGCTGAATGGAAAACACATGCAGCACAGTGTGCTGCTGGCACAGTTTCTCCTCTTGTCTCATTTGCTCTCTTTTTTTTTTCTCTCCCCTGCGGAGTGTTTGCTTTAAGGGCAGGCATAGTTGACCCTGGAAAGTCCAAGAGTTCATTTTACCCTGGAAAGTCCACCAGATTGACTCCAATTCGGCCCCCATAGTTTGCAGAAAATGGGTGGCAGATGATAACATTTTACGTATCGTCAAATGTATTTAAAAACCCGTGGGTAGTTGATTAATGTAGACATGGAGTTTTTTTTTTTTTTTTTTTTTGTCAAATCGCATGAATGCAAGAACAATTTTTTTTTAAAATTAAAGAGATTTTTAAAATACTTTTTTTGGTGCTTTTTTTTTTTGGTGCTTTTTTTAGTTCAATGAAATAGCTGTGCAGTGTGACACAGGGTTGGGCAAAATTCCAAAAGTAAGAATTGACTTCCTTTCAATTCATCAGTTGGAATTTTAATTGATTTGTCCACACCCCTCAGGAAGTTAAATTGGAATTAAATGATTCAGATTAAATGATTTAATCCAAAAGGCAATGGCATTAATTTCCATAAAAATGTTATATTATATAAAATTGCTAATGGTGACAAAACTTAAAAATTTCAAACAAGTTTGTTCTGACAAACCTTTTTAATTTAAAATGACTGTTAAGACCTGGTCACACCAAAAACGATAACTATAAAGATAGCTATATTAGTATCCATATCAATGCACGATGATGTCCTGTTTATTATAAGTGCATGCTGCAGTTTTGTCATCTACCACTTTAAATCATCAAACTCTTAAAAGGGCTATCGAGAATTAAATCACAGATGAACCTTGAAAGTTTTGTGCTTTTCGAATTCCCATCAATTTGATCATAGTTTAGATGATTTTCTGTCTATTGTGGTGGTATAAGTGGTTCTCAACTGGTTTTACTTCAGGACTCTGATTTAACATTGGATATCAAGAGGAAACCCAACACAGTGCCAAAATAGTTCATCGTACAAAAGTAAACAAGAATGTCCTTAAAATCAAATGTCCTTTCTAACCTGTCCAAATGACAGGGGAATTTCCACAAAAAAGCTGTATCTTGATTGGATGCATGGCTGTTAACAATGACAACAAAATATATGTGAAGCATTTTCTTCTCCAAACTGATAACCCCATTGTTATTATAATATAATATTATATTATTATAACCCCTATTTAGCTCCCCTAACTCTGCATATATAGTTAAGTCTCAGTTTATATTTGCATTTACCACCATTTGAGAACTACCGTCTTAGATTTGACATACATTAAAGTAAAAAATTGAAAATCCAAAGCGGTTTGGTTAATTATTTACTGGTGTATTTCTGATGACCAATTCCATCACACACAAGAACACACACACACACACACACACACACACACACATACACACACTGTTCCCAGCTCATTCATGGTTCAGCTATGAAGGAAATACCTGTCATCACTAGGTTGTGATTACACCTGTGCCGCACCCTCACCTGTTGGTGTCAGCTCTGACGTCAGCACACTCTTAAGTTTGTACATAACTTCCTTCTCCAATCCACCGGAAATACATTCATACGTATATCCCGATCGTCACGTGACGCTATGTGCACTGAGATTAACAAATCTCTCTTAAGACTTTGTTTCCTGTGCAACTGATCTCTAAGACTTTGCATTGCATTTTCATTTGTATATCATTTATGAGAAATTATATTTCTTATTTGTTAGTAAGAAATTACATTTATGTTGGGAGTACTTATTTTTTATTTGTTTTTATCTATTGAAATTATTTATAATATTATAGTTTATAATTTAATTTATGATTTTACAATTAATATTTATTCATTTTAGAATAATAAAGTCAGCGAAACTAATGGAAGCATAAAGTATGTACCAAAAAATATCAATATGATATAAAATATATTGTGTGTGTGGCTGTGATATTCCCCCTGTATCAGCACTGGAACCGTTTCACTCTTTGTATCACTCCGCTTGCAGCGAGTGTCATGGCAGACGATTAAATGTTGATTATAAATGATAATATTAAAATTATTTGATTAATTATTAGTTATTGCACATAGTAAAAAAAAAATCTCGTTTGTATTTTTAATGACCAACAAGAAAATCAGAATTCTTTTTGTGATGACTTTTTTTTCACCTGTCACTCTTGGATTGTCAAAGACTGGAATTTTCTTTCCTATTCTTCTTAGGCTGACAGCATGTTGAAAAAGCGCCTGTTTGCATTAGGGAGGAGACCACCCAACCCCCCCTCTCCTGTGTAAACTTGTCTTTGCTGGCTGCCCTGGAGCTCTTGGCTGAGGTTCATGAGGTTCAGTGAGATTACTTGCCTCTGCTGGCACCTGTTCAATTCTTTCTCAGGGCAGGATGATTTAAATGCTGACGTACATACTACGTCTCATGACATGAGCTCTGCAGGCCCCGGCTTGTAGTGGAGTGGAGGTCTCCGCTTATTGAAGACACGTTTGTTTGGAACGGATCTGTGACAAATTACCATACATCCAGTGCAAAGATTGATCAGGCTGTTTGTAACCTACTTCTGAGGCCTTGCGAATGGTACATTCTCATGCATCTGTGACAGCGGGTATTATCTATGTGCTTACCAACTTGTAGATGTTTTCACTAAAGTGTGTATGTAATTTGCAGGCTTTTGTCCCCATGTGCTTCGTATCAATAACTAGTTGTAAACACTTTCCTGTACGTGTTCCAGTGACTCCTCGGATCTTAGAGCTTTCCATAATAACGAAACTGATCATAGGTCTTTGTAGGGCTGCATGATTTATCAAAATGAAACGGACAATCGCAATATGATTTTAATGTGCTTTTGTGAACACAACATGTGCCAACTATCTTCCCATACTTTTAATGAGAAGTACTTTTTAAAGAGAAGCTTTAAAGGCTTCCTGCAGTTTTCCTTCAAAGTAAAACTTGAAGAAATTAATTTAAAAAATGAAGAAATTAAGACAGCCCTTAATATTAGTGTTGTAATTTTATGATTGTAATGTAAAAAAAATATATTATTTTTCTTAAGGGATTGATTTACCCAGGATCTTTGGCTGGACTGTGTTTCTCGAAAGCATTGTAATGGCCCGTTCACACCTAGGATGATAACTTGATAACAATAAAGATATAGTTCTAAAAATCGTTCTAAATGTAAAACAATAGCAGTCAGTCCACACCACAACTATAACAAGAAACAATATCATTGGAATCACTTTCAGAATGATTTTTTCCAGGTGATGAGCAATAAAAACATTGACAACCAATCAGAATCCACATGACTCAAACAAGAGCTCAAACATTTAAAGCGGCAGAGGACACAACAGCAGCAGAATGATATCGTCTACTGGTGTGGTCGCTAATATAGTTATTGTTATAGTTATCTTTATAGGTTTTGTTCTTGGGGTGAACAGGCCTTAAGCCTAAGTAGATCATAGAACCAATGGTCTCAACTTCACTCATGATGCTTTTGAGAAACACAGCCTTGGTAACCTTTAACCATCAGCATAAAGTCTGGCCCACTTTGCAGCTCATTTTCATCCATTTGAAAAGACAAGATGAATAGTGCTTCAGAACGAGCCATGTTTAGATGCCACTCTCTTTAATGAAGAATCATAGCAAAGGACCAAATTCACCTCTTTCTTTTAGCAAACAACATCTTGGTCTCTTACTAAGGCACACCAAAGAGCACAGCGTGTTTTGCGGTTGATCTGTTAGATGCCAAGTACAAAGAACTCATGTCGACTTAAAATCAGCATTTTCAGACTGCCTGTGAAATGGAAAAGAGCATCTTTGTTGATCAGTCAGTCACTCTTTATCACCAACAGTCATTTTCCACCCAGGGAGGGAAGGGCTTTTGTGTGTACCTGAGCATATTTTGAGACTCTTTTATGTGTGTGAGAAGTGTGGAGGTGGTTTTGCTCAGTGAGTCCGCTGTCAATCAATGTAGTTGAGTTTTGTTAAGATGTTGTAAAGCTGTATTAAGAAAGATTTGATGTTTTCGTACTGTAAGTAATTTTCCAAAATCAACACAGAACTCCCTTTTTCGTCTCCCTCCAGGCAGAATCTGGTTGTGGAAGGGGAACGCTATCCCATAATTCTCAACACCCACTTCAGTCAGAAAGTCTGCATGGAGAATAAGCAGGATAACGCAGACGGGCCGAGAGATGCAGTCGCCGTGGAGAAATGCAGACCTCCGCCGTTAACCACGTGTCTGTGGCGGTCAGGGACAAGCCAAGTGTCAACGGAGAAATCCATTCCCTGTAAACAGGTTCGTCAGCTGTTCCCTCTCATGTGATCACGGGATGAAAATTCCCAGAAATTCCCAGAAAAGGGACCGTCTAGATTTCGAATTCAGTGTGAAAGTACTGGCGGGCTGTTGGAATGGAGACAGCTGCCATTTCCTGTGTGACACTGTGTGCGAATGATTAATGAGGGGTGTTTTTATGCATGAATATTTGCTTAAGTGTGAAAATAAAACTACATTTTCCTGTATGACAAGACCCTGGTGTAAACAAAATCATGATGCAATGTCTACGATTTAAAATAACCAAAGTGCAGTGTTGTCTATACAAAGTTTATGTTGGTGTTAAACACAACACAGGTTTAAAAGTATAAAGTAACTACTGGTCAACGGGATCCAATGTTGTTTGGTTCCCAACATTCTTTAAAGTATATTAAATATCATCATTTTTCGGTGGAGAATCAATTTAAATGTGCTTTATCATACTGTCATCAACACTTAAACTACTATTCAAAAGGTCAGTAAGATATTTTAATGTTTTTGCCAAAAATCGCTAATGCTCACCAAGGCTGCATTTATTTGACAAAAATATAGTAAAAACTGTAATTGTTAAATATTATTTCAAATTTCATATTTTAAAACATAATTTAATCCCAGTCTTCTGTCACATGATCCTTCAGAAAGCAGTCTAATATGATGATTTGCTTCTCAAGAAACATGATCAATATTGAACAGTTGTGCTGCGTAATATTTTTGTAGTAATATTTTTTTTTTTCAGAATTCTTTGATAAATAGAACGTTCAAAAGAACAGCATTTTGTAACATTATAAATGTCTTTACTATTATTTTTGATCAATTTAATACATCCTTGCTGAAAAAAAAGTATGATTTTTTTTTTTTTTACATTTAAATTCCACTAGTTATTGTTGTGATGTTGTGGTTAAGGCTTAGAGTTGGTAACCTAAAAGGTGCTGTTTTGATCTGTAAGTTTGGTGTGGTCCTTCAAAGGCCATCAGCGTTGAGAGCAAGACACTTGACCCCAGAGCGCTCATGCTTTGATTTGCAGTGACAAAGAGACCGGAAATCTTTAATTTTCAGTGAGAGTTGCTGGTTTGAGGTGACATGAGGCGTCATTGTCCATTCATTGTGCTGTTCTGTAATGATATTACGTGAAGGTCGTGAAATTTTGACCGGTGTGGTTTGAAAAAAGTTTTAAGATTAACTTTTCCAATTTTTCCATCCTCAGGTTGGCGAGTTGAACAGAAGTGAAATTCGGAAGTCTCTACTGGATGCAGTGGAGGATTGTGGGTCGTCGGGCTTTCAGAGCGGTCCTGTTGAGGTGGTTGTTCAGAGGGTCTACTGCATCCCCATCACCCAATCCCTTCACAGAGCTTCTCTCCAGCACAGACCAGCAGAACCAGTGCCACCGCAGCACATCGGCAGGTACTGGACCTCTGGGTTTAAGTTGCTCTCGTTTTTGGATAGCACTGTTACTTTGGGGGGGAAATTAAAAAAGTCCTGCACACTGTTGCATCTTGCAAATTTTTATAAACAAAACTCTCATTTTGGTCAAAGACCTTCTAAAATGCTTGAAGAAATGGGTGTTGTTTAATAAATATACTTAAAAAACTAAAAATTTAGTACTGTTCAAAAGTTTGGGGTTGGTAAGATTTTTTTTTTATGTTTCTGAAAGAAGTCTCTCATGCTCACCAAGCTGCATTTATTTTAGCAATTGTATATATATATATATTTTTTTAAATCTTACTGACCCCAAATTTTTGAATGGTGGTGTATATATGCATACAGATACATATTGTGCATGACATTTTACTGTTAAAGATTTATTCAAACAGCAAAAAGAGAATTTACATAAATATTTTTTTCCTTTTACACTTCTGCTTTGCTATTGTTAAAAGCAATAACAAACGATTGGGTTTTAAGCACAGTGTGGAGCTGTTAGCAGCACAGAGGCTTGAGATCTATGTAAGTAAATACGACGTGCAGTTTATCAGCAACTCTCCTTCCCCAGTAACCAGCCAAACCAGTTTAGCAAACCAGTTATATCTAAAAACATTTGCTTCGAATAAAATGTATTTGAATTGATTGGGAATGTGCTTGGGGACATAATAAAATACATTAAATTATATTACTGGTTCAAATCACACAGCATGAATATCAGTAGATGATCTGTATGTGTATAGTAGTTTTACGAGATATCTCTTGAATGCGATACGTCGTCAGATTGTGATTGTTCTGTGTGGACGTGCACTCTGTGTTCCAGTGTGGTATAATTAGGCTATTGTCTGTTCTAAACTCCACTGCTGAAGCTCCAAGAGGTCAATCTCCTCATGGAGTGCTAAATGGTGAGAGAGAGCAACTTTGCTCCATATTCTGTCAATGACTAACCAAACAACCCCTCCCAGTACATAGAGTACTCTCTCTTTCTCTCTCTGTCTCCCTCTCTCTGTCTCACACAGTTCTTTGCAGCACATGGTAAATCTCTACAAACATCTCTAATTAAGCCCAGCAATGTCAGTGATCCATAGCCAGATCTAGAAAAAAAGGAAAATAAAGGACAGAAAGTGAGAATTTGCCTTGCAAGGGCTGAAGAAAACCTGTTTGCCTGCGCAAATCTCAACGCCATGAATGGTTGCCAGGGTGTTGCTATGTAGTTGCTATAGAGTGCAACTGAGCCCGCCCACTTTTTCTGCGGCGCTGGTTCCGGAAGCATTTTTTCCATTAATTTTTCCCATAGTGATTTAAAAAAATTCTTCGTTAAAGAGTTATGAGCCATGAACCAGGCAAATCAGCTACTAGGTGAATCACAGCATTACAAACTTTTGAAGCAAAAAAGTTTTTGAAAATCGGACAAAAAGACAAGATGGTTTGCTTAACGGCTTTAGTAAGGGAAAGAACTACAATCCCATGAAGCTTTGCGAACAGCTTAATATATACAAACATTTAAGTATTTTAAGAGTGTAGAGAGATCGACTTGTTTACATCTTTCGCAGTGCTTCATGGGACACTTCGTGTGCAGAGCTAAAGTGCTATTTTGACTGTACAGCATCATGGGTAATGTAGTTTTTCACCAGGAATTCCTCTGTTAAACAATTATTTTAAAAATAAGGTGAAATAATGTGGGGTAACAGCTTCAGCAAAAGCAATGTCCTTGTGGAGTTTTTACTTCTGGAACCCGACTTTTGCACTCTATAGTCTTCTGAGGTTTTTTGTAGCACGTTGCTGTAAAGTTGCTAAAGCTGCATGTCTATTAAACTACGATCACAGCGGAACAATCACATCTGCGTCTACGCTGCCGCTGAGCCAGAGAGAGCAGCTGTCATGTATGAAACGGCTTCGCAAACACTCTTTTTAAACCGCACAGTATCATTATTTCTGTGGTACAATAATTCTAGTTATCACAGAAGTTTTGGAATAAAAGTTTATAGTTCTGATATAAATATTGATGTCTACAGTCTACTTCAAATAAATATTGTATCAATTACATTGTTACACCAGTAGGTGGCGACAAGTAAAAAATGTATTTGTCATTGAATCATTCATTCAAGAGATTCTTTCAAAAACACTGATTCATCCCGTAACGAAACAAGTCAAGTCAATACCTTTATTTGTCCCCCCAATGGGGCAATTAGTTTCACAGCATAGGAGCACACAAACTTACAAACACAAATACACGTAGTATAATAAAATAACATAATGCACATTCTGATCAAATTCAATAATGTGTGAGCTACCTTTCCCTCCTGGCATTTAGAAGAGAGACAGCAGACGGAACAAAGGAGTGTTTAAATCTGTTTGTTTTAGCAAATGGGAGTCTGAGCAATGAACCTGATGGTAGAAATTGAAACTGTTGATATAAAGGATGAGAACAGTCATCCAAGATGGAGTTTGCTTTCTTAAACAACTGTTTTTTGTAAAGATCATTTAAAGTTTCTTGTGGACACCCAATGATTTTACTACTGAAACTAACGACCTTGTTCAGTAAGTTCCTCTCCCTTACCCTCAAGGATTGAAACCAACAAACAAAGGAGAACGTAATAGTAAACAAGTAGAGTATTCATGAGTGAGTCGTTGAATCATTCATTCAAAAAAGGCTGCAGCAATTAATATTTTGTCAGAACCTCTAGTAAATTATTTTTTTTTTGGTTGTCTATTCAGAATCGTGGGAGAATCACAATCTATTCAAGAAAAAAAAAAGCGATTTCTCAATTTATCCAGAATCCTGCAGCTCTAGCCGTTGCTAAGGTGTTCTGAGTGGCTTTTTGCATGTTGCCTTAGTTAAGCTGTTTTTAAGTATGTTGCTATGTAGTTGCTAACATGTTCAGAGTGGTTTTAGCACATTGCTGTGCAGTTGCTTAGGTTGTATGAATGTTTTGCATGTTGCAATGGCGTTATAGTGTTCTGAGTTTTGTAGCATGTTGTCATCCAGTTGTAAAGAGCCTGCGCCTCCCTCACGCTCTGATCTCTGCCCCGCTCCGAGACACATTGATTTGTTGTCAGAAATGCACGTGGTGCTGTGTTGATGAAGGGTGATTGGAAATAAAGAGTCAGTTGACTGTCGGTAACTGGATCCCAGTCAGACGCTGCTGCTGCATGCCGTAAACACTGAAACACAGGAAGACGAGACACTGTGGTCTGGAGTGTGTGTTGACGGGGAAACCCTGACTGGACCAAACCTGGCAAAGATGAAGCAAACACATGCACATGCATAATGCACAGAATCAGACCCCAGCACATGATAGCTAGCTGCCATTAGCAACCTCACATGCTCATAAATTCTCTTCATTTGTACAGGCCTCATGGTCTCAGAGAATAAAAGGGGGGTGTTTACATTCCTTTTTAATACAGTTAGACCAATATTGTATTTTTATTTATGGGCAAATGTCTCAGAACCATTTTTTTAATACGTAGAATGAATAATCATTAAACAGAAAAAACATACATTTATTATTGTTGTTGTTGCTAAATAATAATAAATATTTTCTATAAATATTATTAATATTCATATATTTAATATGTTGACTTATTTATTTATTTAAGATATGTTTTTAATGTTTGTAGTCAGATTTTTATCATTAGCAAGTTGCAAGTCTTGCATTGTCAGATAGCTCTCATAAAATTAAGATATTGTTTCCTTTTCACTTTTTGAAGAAAATACTGGTTTTCCTAAAAAAATTATAGTAAAAATATTATTATTTGTCATTTATTGTTACTATGTATTCATTATTTATAATAATTCATGCAATAATATTAGAGGTATATGTTTTTTTCTGTTTGTAGCCTAATCATGTGTATTTATTGTAGTGTCGAAAAGCATTAAAATAATTTTTATGTTGCTAAATTCTTTCGCAATCTGAATAGTCGCAAGATTAGTTTCATCTCTGTTTTGGTTTCTGTCTTACTGTTAAACTTAAAATGCTACTCAAGAATGAATAGATGTTACATAAACAGATGAGTAATTTATGTTATCAATACATAAAGTAAGTTATTTTCAACACTATTGTGAATATACAGTGTTATGCATGACACTCTTTACAGCTTCGGTTGATTATGACATCCATAACGGGCAGCCATATCACCCTGTAGCCCAAGACTGGTGCCCACTGAAGCTAAGCAGGGCTGAGCCTGGTCAGTTCCTGGATGGGAGACTCCTGGGAAAACCTGGTTGCTGCTGGAAGAGGTGTTAGTGAGGCCAGCAGAGTGTGAGGCTCACCCTGTGGTCTGTGTGGGTCCTAACGCCCCAGTAAAGTGACGGGGACACTATACTGTAACAAGCACCGTCGTTCAGATGAGACGTTAAATATCAGTGGTCATTAAAAATCCCAAGATGTCCTTCAAAAAAAGAGTAGGGGTGTAACCCCGGCATCCTGGCCAAATTTGCACTTTGGTCTCTGTCCGTCATGGCCTCCTAATCATCCCCATATATATATTCTGATTGGCTTCGTCACTCTGTCTCCTCTCCACCAGTAAGCTGGTGTGTGGTGGGCGTACTGGCGCACTATGGCTGCCGTCGCATCATCCAGGTGGTGCTGCACATTAGTGGTGGTTGAAGAGATTCCCCTCTTCCATATGTGAAGGGCTTTTAGTACCCAGAAAAAGCGCTATACAAATGTAACAAATTATTAATTATTATAATCCTATTACTGCTCCCTCATGATTTTATTTGTCTTGGAAAATGTTTTCAGGTGAAGTAAATAACATTGACTGTATGTTTTGTTGGTGCAGATTGAATCAGTCAGATTGAATCAGCTGACTGTGTTCTGTTTAACTTTTGCAGCTTTTAAATGATATAGTTGTTGCTAAGGCAATCATCACTATATCTAGTTATCTTTACTTGCATTGAAGAATGGATCTGAGCAATGTCATTGAGACTCATGAGACATTGGACCTGTAAGTATAGCCACCCAGAACACCCTAGCAACATCCTGGCAACCACATACAACACCTTAGCACCATCCTGGCAACCACATACAACACCCTAGTAACATCCCGGCAACCACCCACAACACCCTAGCATTGTGGCGGCTCAATTTTGTATCGGCAGGTATATAGCATGTGAAAATTTCCTTTTGGACTTTTTGAAGAAATTACTGCTTGTTTGTTAATTTGCTTTACCAAAGAAATTGTTTTGTGTTTTTAACTGGTACTTTTCTCTGTCTTGGTGTTCAATCTTTCTCCAATTTGGAAAGTTAAACCGTGAACTTTAAAATACTCATATTTATTTGGTTACCTGGTTACACAGCTGTTGAAATTGTTATTTTAGTATGATTTATTTTCTATTGTAGTATTTATTAATATTTCAAATTAGTTTTCATTTTAATTACATTTAAGTTTTAGTAGTTGTACTGTTTGCTTTTATCATTTTTATTAGGTTGTTTTAATTATATTTCTTTTTAGCTTTTAATTTATTTGTATTTCAGTTTTAATTCAACCTTTCATGTAGTTGTCAAGGCAACATTTCTAATTTTCGTTCAAATTTTTTTTTTTTTTTTTTTTTTAGCTTTATTTAAACTATTTTTAGTTTTAGTTAACAAAAAATAACAGCCCTGGCAAAATGGACGTATTGTTCCTTATTTTCAAGCTGTCTTGGCTCTGTTTATAATTTCACTACACACAGGCTTAAAATCAGATTATAAGCATATGTTTGAAACCCATTTTCCCTGTTTATACCCTCCAGCATACAGCATAGATGTTGACAATATCTGTTTTGTTCACATGTGTGGTGTGCTTCAACAAGGCCACCCATCTCATTACAACTGTTAGTTTGCAGTTACGTTGCAGTTTCTCTCTCTCTCTCTTTAAACATTTTTTTGTAAACATTTTCTTTCCCCTCCTCCTCCTCGTTTTTGTGGCCAGTTTCCAGACAATAATTAGCGTTTAACTTTTGGTCCAAGAAGATATGTTGTTCCAGTAAAAACTCAGAGCAGTATAAACAGGCTGAAGAAGTTCTCTTTGCTCAGACAGGAGGCGTTGGATGTTTTCAAGAAGAAGTGGAACACAATGTGCTTTACGTGTCAGATTACAGACCTGTTTATCAAAAGCTCTACTCCCATTGGCCGGCACCGTGTTGGAAGGAATCCCGCCCACTGTGCCTTAACCAATCAGCTGCCAGAGAAGTTTTTGTGCATGTGTGAAGGAAATGGAGGGGTAGTGTGGTACCTACATTGAGTAGGCTTGTGTGTGTGTGTGTGTGTGTGTGTGTATGTGTTTGTGCTCCGCTTGTGTGAGTGTTTGGACAAGCTCAATGGATCGCAATTCCTGGAAGCGCCTCCAAGTTGCTGCGAATTCCTGCGAACGCTCACAATAACAGATTCCTGAAAGTGGCTAGTGACTGCTGCTGACCAATGACAGAAACCCGGTGGGGACATCGGCCCTCTGTCCTGCTCCGTTAGAGGAAGCGCCTCAAATGGACCAAAAGGGTATAAAGAAAGGGGTTGTTTATATCAACCTGGCCGTATACCACAAAGTGCTACTGCCCAGTCACCCCTCCTGTTCTCTGGTTTCATAGACACACGGGTCTAAACAAGCCTCAGTGTTCACAACCACACTTATTTAACTCCGTGTTTTTTAGCAGCGCTACAACAGGGTAACCACAGTTCAGGATGATTCCCGAATCCCGATCTGCCAGTCATGGTTCATCAAAGGTCATCTCACAAATCGCATCAACATCATTAGCTTTAACAGTCAAATTATTTGCGTTATACAGTCTTTTAATCTATTTTGAAAGCAGATGAAACATGAAACAACATAGTTTTATCCTGATCTGGCCCGAGTTGGACATAATGTCTTGCTTTTTGAGAGTTTTTCTTGGACAGCGTAAGTATTAAATGATTGTCATAAAAGTGAAACTGACCCAATCCTAGAAGAAATTCGAAACCAGCTGAATTCAAATAAAAAGGAGCTTGAGAGAATCTTGTTTTCTGTGAATCGTGTGAATCAACACATAACTCAACTTCAATGTTGCCTTTTGTAATGTTATACAGCAAAGGTTGAGATAAATAGACAGAAATAGTTGAGAAAATAGGCAAAAAAGACCAATCACAGTTCAGTATGCAGATATTGTAATTTATATCAGTTAGATTTCAAATAGATGTATAATAATAATAAGTTTAATTTATATAGCGCCTTTCGCAAGCTCAAGGACGCTTCACAAGCGTCGAAAAATATGATTCTCATGGTTAATTTTTATTTAACATTTTATATAAGCTAGATCGATTTAAGTCTGTTCACACCAAAACCGATAACTATATTAGTGTCCACACCAGCAGACCGTAACGCTGCAGTTTTGTCGTCTGCCGCTTAAATGCTTGAGCTCTTTAAAGTCAGGTGGATTCTGATTGGCTGTCAATGTTTTATCGTTTATCAGCTGTAAAAATTCGTTCTGAAAGTGATTCCAACGATATTGTTTCTCTGTTCCATTATTGTTATGGTTGTGCTGTGGACTGACTTTGCTTTTCTTTAATATTTAGAACGATTTTTAGAACAATATCTTTATCGTTATCGTTATCATCCTTGGTGTAAACGGGTTCTTTAGTGTTGGTTGTGCAATCTTTTGCTTTCCCAAATACATGAATACTTCCAAAAGGTTTTTTTTCTTTTCTTACCCTGATTCACTATTGTAAGTGTTTATATTTTAGACGTGGCGGGATATTGCATACATGCGTCACACACCCGTGCCTGTCTCGTCATATACGTGGAGGTGGCGTTTTCTATTACTCGACAGGTGAGTAAGGTATTTTATTGAACAGATAAATTGCCATAAGGCATATGTATTATACATATGCCATATGTATTCATCTGCACAGTCACGCACAGCCGAAGCACAACCAAAACAATGTTCTTACGCAAAATACGCGCAGTTTTTTTTTTAAAGCCAAAAGTTACATTTTGTACCTTTTTAGATTATTGAAATATTAACCTAAAATCTCAGGGAGTACTTGAAGTAAATATTTTATGTCATGGTTTCCAAAAAGTGTGTGAATCCTTGTTCTAAACTGAACAGTGTTTGTTAGCGGTCTGCACAGTGGTTTCAGCTGAATTAGTTGCAGAAAATGTGTAGAAGAAAAATAGTAAATGTAGATTATTTTGAGGAGCTGCCTTGCAAGCAGTTTTTCAACTAAACACGTCTCCAGCTAAATCAGTGTGAAGAATGTACGAATCAACAGTGTTTATTTTTTATTCCACTATAGTTATCTCTACTGTGCAATCAAATCACTGTCTAGCATGTGAAAATATATTTAAATACCAGCCTGTTTGTTTAGTCCCGTGGTTTACTGGCTCCAAAAAAGTCGCCAGTCTCTGTGAAGTGACTATCTGTAGAGACTATTAATACCTGCAAAAATATCATTTTGAGTATAGAAACACCGCCATGTGACCGCTACGAGTCAGGCCATAGATCAAGTTATTAGTTAGTCCCTGTCTGGTGCCAAAGTCAACATTTAATCTGTGACGATATCTGTATCTATGTGAGTGTTTGTTGTTGGGGTGAAGCTTCAGAGACTCTCATTTGCAGGTCTTCATTTTGTGCAGTTTTACTTATGAGTACAGTTTGTCATTAAGAGTTTGTCCAAATAAACTCAAATGCCTGCTGGAGTTTTACCTTCAGTAAAAAAAACCTTCAGTCTTTCTCAACCTCTGTCTTTCTTGCCATTTTAAATTCAGTTTAGCATGCTTTATTGTTGGCATAACAAAAAGACTAAACATTTGCATTGCAAAATCAAGGAGAAATTGTTCAAAATAAGTCAAATAACAGCAGTGCAAACAAATAGAGTAAACAGCTGCAATGTAACGCAAATGAGTCAGGAATAATTTACTACTGGCAGTTAAATGATTGTTCTCCTTCTCTTTTTCTGTGTCAGGTTGTGTGCTCTCGTTCAGGACAGTTACGGGATGTTCGGTGAGGTTCTTCTGCAGTGTGTGTCCACAGAATCAGAGATCCAGCTGAACTCTGAGCAACTGGAGGGTTGTGTGTGCCTCCTCCAGGCCCTGAGGGTCGTCCAGCGTCTCACACGTGACAAGTGAGTCCATGATGAAGTCACATGACACTAAAAACATCCTTCTGATCTGAAAAACATCATTTTCATTTAATGAGTGCTAATTGGAGGCTGTCCAGAAAAACGCACCCAAGTTAATTTCCTCTTCCTTAAAGCTACTTTTTTTCTTTCTTTCTTTTTCTTGGCGCCACAGCTTAGCAGTTAGTATGCATCTAGATATTAGGTAATGGATAGACTACTAAAGAAATAGTTGGATTTAGGTGGAAAAACCAGCAATAAATAATTTATTTCTGACAATATTTTTTATTCATAACTTTATATTATATGAAGCAATATTTATTTATATAAATGAATTATATATATATATATGAAAATGTTTTATGTATATAAAACAAATACATATAGATATAATTTTGTCATATATTGTCTATATGTATATAATGAATACATTTTATATATATATATATATATATACACACACACAATATAATATATAATCATTATATTATATTATTATATTATATATTATCACATAGTATTAAATTCATTTCATATAACAGTAATTTTTATTTTTGGAATTTAAATAAATAAATTAAAAAGCAAATATGGACAGAAATAAAAATTATTTATATATATGTATATATAATTATATTATTTGTTAATGTATATTTTCACATAATTAATATATATTTTCACATAAATATTTCAAATGTATGTATCATTAATTATATAAATATTATTTATATAAATAAATATTGAAATGTATAATACAAGTTTATGAATGAAGGAATATTCATTTATAGAATAATAATATTTATTTTTAGAATATTAATAAAACTATTAAAAAGCAAATATGGTCAGAAATAAAAGTTATTTATTTATTGCTATTTTGTCTATTTCTCTAGTATTTCTAACAGTTTCTAACAGTAAACCTTCTTCTTATTTTGTCTCATCTACACCCTGTTTTCTGGACTATTTGTAAATCATTAGTGAGCCTTACTGCACTCTATTGAACTGAAAGTTAATATGAGCTACTGTTTCCAGCCTCACTGGCTCAGATTAGCAGCTCACAGTGAGTACTGAGCACACTCAGTGTGTTGAGCATTTCTGGCATCTCGCTACATGTGTCCGCTTACTCAAGATTGTCTGGGTGGTCACTCCTTTAACATCTATGTTGTTTAAGTTAAAGATGGCATGTGATGGGAATTCTGGTGACGTGTTTCCACGGATATGAACATGAGCCATGTACACGAATGCACAAGATGCTTTTCAACATGCACAGCTTATGTGGGATAAACATGGTGTATATATGGCTATATGGTGAATAGAGATTTTAAACACTTTTGGAAATTCTATAATCATTTACTTGCCTTATGCATTTTAAAACTCCAAACGATGTGCTTTTTTTTTACCATGGAACCCAAAAAGAGAAGCATAGCGAATATTCATGCTGCTTTTTTTCCATAAAATGGATGTGAATGGGTACTGGGACTGCCAAGCTCAAAAAAGACACTTAAAACATTAAATATGGCTTTTAAAAGCCATATAATAGCATTTTGTGATATTTTAAGTCGTTATTTACTAGTAATATTCCCTTCCGCCCCTGTACTTCTGTCATATTCTGTTTAAAACAATCAAATCCAGAGTAAAGGGGAAGATTTTCAGTGGATAACATCTTACTTTCTGGTCTTTTCCTCACATAAAGGCAGCGAACAGCTTTAGAAACTTTGGAATTTAGTACATATGTCACAAATTAACTACTTTCTTGGTAATTGTATAATTTTTTTAGAGTCCCTATCCACTTTCATTATATGGAAAATAGCAGCCTGTAAATGAACCCTAAATCATTATTTAGTTTAATTTATTTTCTATCACAGTTTTAGTTTAGTTTTAGTTTATTTATTTCCGATCAGTAATTTTAGTGCTTCAACTAATTTCTAATACTTTTGTATTGTTTACAGTTTTCTTTTAATATTTATATTTTACTTCAGCATTATTTCAGTAAACAAAAATGTTTTTAATAGTTTTTGTTTTAGTTAACGGTAATAACCCTGTTTGGAATGACGTGAGAGTGAGTAAATGATGGCAGATTTGTATTTGTTTATTTATTTTTGGTGAAAAACAAATAAATCATTTTGTACATGTTTGGATCGGTTAGACATGTCTCTGCATAACACATTCTGACAGTCATCTTGCTCATCTTCTCTTTGTTTCATCTTGTTTGTTTACTTCTGAATGCTGTTTCACGGTTGAAAAGGTGAGGTTTTTTTTTTTAGAGTTAATGCTCAGGAATAGACGACTTTCTCCAGAAAGGAACAGTACGATTGTCTGTCCTGCAAGACATTAAAATGTCTAGCTTAATTTCAGTCTGCTTCTCTGTTGAGTGTTTTCGGCCGTGTTTCTCGTCCCGCTGGACTGGATAGGGCGGTTGAGCGGGTCACAGGAAGAGGAGAGCAAGACTGTGATTAAGACAGCTGTGGAACTGGTTGTGGATGATCAGATCATACAGCTCTGAGGCACACACAAGGCTCAAAAACGCTTTTAAGCTCCACAAAGACCTTATCGTTCTTGACACCCATCTATGTATGGGAGCTTTCAAGAATCAAGAATCGTTATGCTGAGAACCGAGAACCATACAGCAAGGAGGATCTTATTGCTAAAATGAACCTGACCCTTTATTTTAACACATTTTAGCCAAATTTTAGGTTACACTTTATTTTGATGGTCCACTTTAGACATTCTAATAACTATAAGTAAATTGTCAACTACATGTCCACTAACTCTCATTAGAGTATTAGTAGACTGCAGAACACTGTTAGTTTAGGGTTCAGGTTAGTAGAATAAGTTGACATGTAGTTGCAAAGTTACTTCTAGTCAGTAGAATGTCTGTTCATCAAAGTAAAGTGTTATCAGATATTAAGCAGACAGTCTACTGATACTCTATGACTGCTAGTTACATGTAGTTGCAAAGTTACTTAGTAGAATGTCTAAAGTGGACCATCGAAACATATCCGTTATAATTGTGGGTATTGTGTGAGTGTTTATCTGCTAATCTTTTAAATCGAACACAGACAAAGCTGATCTCTGTCCTTTTGTCTACATGTCAGTCTGTCTGAAATGTTATTTTAGATGCATAAACTCGTAATTGGAGTGTTAACATAACAGCTAGCCTGCCAAATATTAAATTATCACCATTTTCAATAGAAATAATTTAATTCTGGAATGTTTTAATGACATACTTTTTATCTGTGTGTGTGTGTGTGTGTGTGTGTGTGTGTGTGTGTGTGTGTGTGTGTGTGTGTGTGTGTGTGTGTGTGTGTGTGTGTGTGTGTGTGTGTGTGTGTGTGTGTGTGTGTGTGTGTGTGTGTGTGTGTGTGTGTGTGTGTGTGTGTGTGTGTGTGTGTGTGTGTGTGTGTGTGTGTGTGTGTGTGTGTGTGTGTGTGTGTGTGTGTGTGTGTGTGTGTGTGTGTGTGTGTGTGTGTGTGTGTGAACAAGCCTCAGCCTGCTAGTGTAACTGATCTCGTTCTTGTCAGCAGACACTGTTCATCTGCAATAGAAGCTCAACTTGGCAGCACGTCAGTCTAACCGAAGCTAATGAGACTGACATTGTAAACACTCCACCTTTAGCTCCCCTGTTTCTGGAAGGATCCTTGAATATGAACATTCAGAGATTGAAACTTTGTCCCCCCCCCCCCTCTCTTCTTCTCTTTGCAGATGTTCTTTGCTCTTCAGTATGATTGACAGTTTGTGGCCTCCTCCAGTTGATCCAAAATCTCATGACGAACTTCCACAGTCTCCCAGCGTAGGTCTTCAGATCACATCATAAATCACAGCCGTGTTTACTTCATATTTATCGCACATACCTCCTGTTTCTGGAAGATTCCACTTGGGCAGTGGCTCATCATGTCAAAACAACCACCACGCTGGATACTTAACCAAAGTACATATAAATAAACCTTCATAGCTCAAAGATACAAAATTACTTATTAGCGGTGGTTGCTAAGACAAACATTACTGCAGTTTCTCGTACTAACAGTTAGTAACTCTGTCCTTATCGTTTGTGCTACAGACGGGAATGATACCTCAAATCAATCGGCTCTTACTTTTAAACGTCAGATTTTCACCTAGCAGGTGGTAACATGGGCAACAAATCCCATAGACTTTTACACTGACCTAGAGATGAGAATATCATGAATGTTAACTGCATCTTCAAATTTCCCCTATAAGATCTGTTTGTTTTGTACATATTGTGTTGCTCGTGACGGATAAGTAGTTACATTCATCTATTATTAGGCCTAAAACGGTTTCTTTTCTACCTTGGGTTTAAAAAAGCAGCACTTTAAGCATATTTAAAGGGACTGTTTTCGTAGTATTTTATATCTTGAAAGACACTTCTTTTGAACTTTCACTGTTAGTGATGCTTGCTTGCACTGGTTTTATTCCAGAGCGGTATTATGCAAATGTGGGCAGGCATATGTTAATGAGCTTATAGAGGTTTCTTCATGAGCGTCTTTTTCTGTTTATTTTCTTTAAATAAATCTGATCATTTCTATAATAAAATCTGAGTTGAAGGTAACTACGTTGAGTGAAACAAATAAATGATATTTATTTCCATTAAATGACCCCCCCTGAACTATCTACTTTGATATTTTTAATAATCAGGGCATTCTGTGCATTCCAGGATCGAGTCCCACCACCCAGTTTCTGCTATAGGCTGAGCATCCAGCAGGGTCACATGGTTTCGTTATCAAGACCGGCTGAGTCTCCAGTGTACCGACCACCTGTGCTTCAGACGCTGAGAGAGATCCTTCAGGTACAACACTCAGAATTATGTCATCGTTACTAACGGATTGGCAGAAACGTCTTTTATCCCGCATTCTTAAAAAAAAGAGAACAAAATACAGAAAAACCTGAAAAATATCAAGGAATTTTAAAGAGGACCTATTATGCTTGTTACATTTTCAACTTTCCTTAGTGTGTATTGTTGCTGTTTGAGCATTAAAATGTCTGCAACGTTACAAAGCACAAAGTCCACTTCAAAGGGAGTTATTCCCTTTATCAGTAAATGTTTCTAATAGCCCTGATGAGTTTTCTTGCGGGATCGTACACATCACAATATTCCTCATTTAAATAATTCCCGCCTCAGACATACGCAAAAACTGGGACATGGCCTGGTTAAGTTGTGTTTAGGCCCCGATATACTTCAAGTGAAATCAAAGAACGAATTGTGTGACGTCATTTCAAACAAAATAAGGGCCAAAACGAAGTTCGTTTTGTATTCGTTTCGGGAGATCGAAACAGCTTGACAAAGTGAGCCTTCTGGAAAGTTTGCTCTTGCTGTTAAACACCTTAGAAGTTCCATTGGTCGGTGGCGATGATGTAATAGGTAGGTGTGGCTCTGAGGCTCCGCCTTCTTTGAGGTGTTCAGCTCCTCGAGGTCGGACGTCCACGAGTAAAAACATGAACACACTGGAGAGCCGCTTTATAGTAGAAACTGAAGTTGTAATTCTAATTGAAAGAGACACTGACGCTGTTTTTGTTTAATACTGTAAAGCTGTTTGCTTTAAAAGGATCTAGTTTATAACGATTTATTGTATAACATAACAATAGATCTATTCTATAATAAACGTACCGTGACTTTACTGGAGTGCTGAATTGCAGAGCTGGTGCAGACATCCACATCGCTACGATCATATGCTTTCTTAACTGCTGTTTTCACATCGCTGTCATTTTTGTTGCGTTAATTTTGTTATTGAAAGGAAAGCGCACAGCATAACATTCATCTAAACACCTACAGTATACCACTGGTCACATATTTCAAACTTCTTTTTACCCCAAAGTGAAGAACGAAAAAGAACTTCGCCGTGAGTATATCGGGGCCTTTAGTAATCTTTTTGCTCTGTCCAAGAAATGCTGTTTATTCCACCCCAAATCTAAACCGCCTTTTTATCCCCGGCTTTCCTAAGGCAGACAAACTTAGGAGACAGTGGTTAAAATGCATTTGTATCACTGTTCCTGAACAGTACAGTATCTCTGTGTTACACACACAACATTGCATATAAAAAGTATAAGAGAATTACAAAATAAAACGTACCACTGTGAAACCTCTGTTTAAGTCGTGCTTGCAAAGGTGGTTCTGGTCGATCCGCTTGACCTTCTACATTTTCTGTATCTGACTTGAGCTCGAATTGATAAAGCAAAGCAAACGCCATTGTTAGTGTTTACACCTGAGATACTAAAACTTGTGCTCATGGTAAAGGGTGTGACATTTCCAAAACACGCTCGAAGCGGTTGACCAATCACAATACACTGGTCCACCCGACCAATCGGAGCACATTGCTCTTTTCAGAGGGAGGGGCTTCATAGAGACAGTAACTAAACAGAGCATTACTGACAGAGTGGGATAGACTCTGTAAAAGGGCATACTATGGCCTCTTCAAAGAATTGTCATTTCCAGACATGAGATTTTCTTTAAAAAGTGTTGAAGATTTTTACAGTAAATAAATATAGTTTTTCTATAATGCTCAGCACTAAAATATTTAATTGGCTGGAAATTAGTCCTTGTGGGTGCAGTCTTTATAAATGAATGATAATAAAACAAATCTTTATCCAGTATTGTTAAATAAATTTTTTTTTAATTGGAATTGTTCAAAAGGTGTGGAAGAGTAATTTTATATACAGGGTCATTTTATACAATATTATAGTTTTTATTAATATTTTGAATGAGGTTTTATTTTTATATTTTCAGGTTTCATTTTAGTTTAGGTGTTTTTAGGTGCTATATAGCTTTATTTTTATTTCAGTTTTAATCATTTTAGCACTTCAACTTTTCTAATTTTCATTTTTCATCTAGTATTTAAATGATATTTTAGCTTTATATTTTTTATTAGATTTTGTTTTGTTTTTAGTTAACAACAAGAAGACTTGTGTGCAAACCATGAAACAATGTTCTTTTAATCTAAGTTGATTTACTAATGACTTGTTCGGTTTTTGTTTTTTAGGATGAATCTTTGAGATTTCGTTGCAGCTTTCGTGCCACTGTGGTCCATAAACATTTATTGGTAATGTTTTCTTAAACTATTTTTAGCAATAAATGCATAAATCAGATCATCATTTTCATCATAGCTATATATTTGTGGAGTACCTTGGCATGCCTGATTTAAGGAGTGTGAGAAATTGTCCTTAGCTTTGCCTTTGGATTGTCTTCTTAAGAACCCACCATAGCTGTTTTCCCAGTACATTTGCCAAGTCTTTCCCCCTTCAGGGAAGCTTCCAAACTGTACACCTTTGAAAAAGCTTTTGGAAAGCTTTACGCACTGTTTAACGTTAGCTTACCATAAGTGACATCATCCTGTGACAATCTACATGATTGATCTCGCAAACCCTTAGACTTTGGACTTTGATAACCTGGGATTTATTTTATTTGAGGTTAAGGGTCATGCTTGCATACTAATGTGTACAGTAGATACACAGTTGATTAATGTGTTTTGTTTTTATTTGCTCTGTTTTGTTTTTGACATTGCACATCTGCGTAGGTGTGTGAATGAACAGTCTGTCTGGGAAAATGCCCAAGGAAACGCTTTATTCCTGTAATAATGACAGATTTATGTCTTTATAAATGATGCAAACAATTGGAGTTTTATTTACATATGAATTTTAAAATAATGTAGTTAAGAGCCAATATCCCTGTAATTTATTAAAGAAATATAATATAATATAATAAATATAGAAATTATTTTCTATACAATTCGCACATTTCATCAATTATCTCCAAATATTTGAGAAGAGAAAATGTGCATTACCCATTAAAAGTCTTACTGTATATACCAGTGCTAATCTCAAACTCTCCAGTCGGTTCATATTAATTTATTCAATAAAATGCACTGATTGCCGCATGCGTCTTGGTCTTGCAGAGCTCAAATGCAGGCGAAATGGAGATGCTGCTGTTTGTGACAGATCCCAGTCTCCAAACGGAGCCAAACACAGAGGGAAACAGGAGAACCGTAGCCGTGTGTCTGAGGCCGTCCTGCCTGATCCGGAGCTCAGTAACACATGCCCTGGACGTCCTGCAGAAACAGCCCGTTCTGAAGTTCAGAGATGCAGTGAAGGAGCATGGTATTTCATCACATAGACAAACAGGAATGCATCACCTGTCTGAATGTCTCGTGCACACCTTTTTTATTGTGACAAAGTGCAAATGACTTGCTAATTGCTGGTTCATTCAATCGCAATCATTCAATCATTCAGCTCCTCGAGGTCGGACGTCCACGAGTAAAAACGTGAACACACTGGAGAGCCGCTTTATAGTAGAAACTGAAGTTGTAATTCTAATTGAAAGAGACACTGACGCTGTTTTTGTTTAATACTGTAAAGCTGCTTGCTTTAAAGTGATCTATTTTATAATCAATCAATCGCTGTGATATAGTATTAGTACTTTTGGACCGTTAAGATTTCTTTGCATTGACATTTTCGTGAAAATTCTTAATGAAAAAATTATTTTATCAAGTTTATAAATTATAATAAATCCTTATATATGTTTATATAATGTATTTATACGTCATAGTAGTATTTATTTAGATAAGTAATTTAATTATTTATAATAAATACAAAAACTAATCATATTGGAATTTGTGCTTACCGGTAATTGTAAATAATGTCACATAATCTTAATGGTCCAAAAAATAGGCTTCATTTGGTTTATGCAATGTTGTTTCCCCTTTTGACCCACTCTTTTTTTGGGGGGGGGGGGGGCTGGGGGGGGGGTGGAATATGACCTGGACATGTTTTCATGAGATTTTAATGCATGAAAAGTTCAGTTTGTCGTTTTTTTAAGGAATCCATTCAAGCAGAAAACTCTCTGGTTCTGCTTCTTCATATCTGAATTATTTTGAGATTTAGAGGTTTCCTACATAAATCTTCATGTTGTCTTTCCACAAAACCATGTATAGAAGGTTCTGTGACATTAATTACGCTACTGCTCCTTTCACTAAACCAGGTCAGATATTCTGCTGGGATCAGACAGTAATCCAACTGGAACCAGAGGACCCGTCTTTCTCCATACCACAGCCCATAATACTGGATCACCTGGGTCCAGAAACCCTCCCATACTCTCTCTGCTCTGTCACAGGTTGGTATATTCCTCCCATAGCCTCCCCTGTTTTTGAGGAGTTGGTGCAGTCCAGCCTGACAGAACCAGATCTCCGGGGGATACAACATGTTTGTCCATTTAACCGAAACCAGTTGTTTGTTGGCTCAGGCTTTGTTCTTGATGCTTTGTTAGGGACCTTCTTGTGGTTTGTCATGTGCTTTTCCTTTTTAAAGATCTTTCTCCCCCACATTGAAGGAAAGTTGTCTTTTTGCCCGGTTTTGAGATATAAAAGTCTCATTTTGTTACTAAGTGCTCTGTTCATTCTCTTATATTAGTTTAACTCATGCAAAGTGATGCAATCTCACTGTATTGTTTTTCATTCTGTAAATGATCCCCAATTATGGATAATTTTCGCTAATAATTTGTTTCCCCGCTTTTCCGGATGCAGAATAAGCGTAATCACTAAAACCTGTTACATGTTATGTTATGTTATGTTATGTTATGTTATGTTATGTTATGTTATGTTATGTTATGTTATGTTATGTTATGTTATGTTATGTTATGTTATGTTATGTTATGTTATGTTATGTTATGTTATGTTATGTTATGTTATGTTATGTTATGTTATGTTATGTTATGTTATCCACACTGACGCTCTCACAGGTTTCATGCAGACATTATGTTCAGGTTGTTCCGTGTTCTGTTGAAGAATAGAAATGTGATATTTGACACTCCATGTTAGACTTTGAATCTCTTTCACCCTGTAGATAAGACAAATCATCTGACTCGAAAGTGTTACAAGCACAAATAATCTTCTGCAGTGGTCAGCAACTTCAGCTTCTGGCTGTGTGCCGGAGGATTCTCCAGAGAGCAGAGGTTCATGCAGGGGTCTTATCACTCTGCCTGTTGTGTATTATCTAACATAGATGTGTCCTTGTGTGCTGCGTGTTACTGCTTGTATGATGTTATTTGTCAGAAAATGTCCTAAATTTGAAAGTTCTCAGAAGTTTGAAGAAACAAACTATTTAATTATATGTTGATGATGTGCCATGATTCCTTTGGGTATCGTATTTCATCATTTCACAGTAGTATTTGCTTTGAGGGTAAATCAGAAGTGTAAAAATAGCAGTAATTAGCTAATTTACTCAGTAAGTAGTACAAATAACAGAATGGGCTTATTTATAAGTAGCAAATGAAAACTAGTAAACTATTTATTATTACATATAACTTTGTTAGATACTAACACAATGCATGGTTTATCCTGCAATCATCCAGCAAAGTGATTTTAGTCAATTATATCAATGAAATAATTGTAATGAATGTGTGATTTGCATATGTTAATGTGCAGGTGTGATTGTTGCAGTGGACGAGAGCACAGCGTTCTCCTGGCCCACCTGCAGCCGGTGTGAGAGTTGCCGTTTAGAGACTCGAGAAAAGCAGTAAGTCCAAAGTTCTGTGCTAGACCGGTTCTAAGTCCAAACCAGTGAACTTTAAAGACAAGAAACTATCCTAAGTGATCGTCAACCTACATGCGGACAGATTGAAGTTCAATCTTAGAAATAAAGGTTCTTTATTGGTATCTACAGTTCCATAAAGAACATGTAAGATCCATAGAAACTTTCCATTACACACAAGGTTCTTTAGATTAGTGAAATGTCGTTCACAATAAAAAAAAAAATGGTTCTTTTAAAAACTGTTCTCTTAAAGTGTTTAGCACTGTAAGGAAGAACTTCATTACCGATGTTGTGTAGAAATGCCTATAGACATTATTACAGCAGCATCTCAGCTGCAAATTCCTTGTGTCATCTAATAAAATAAAGTGTTTATTGAGTCCCAAATGCTTTCTTTACTAAGTTAGGAAATTGAGTTTTCCCAAAGTACATTATAGGGGACATGTTTGTGGCATTTTATTTTGTTCCCGAAGCCACAAAAAAGTCGTTATGAAACGGAAGTTGCCAGTCTTTTCTTCCAAATATCCTATTGAATTGGCTTCTCAACCAAGAAAAAAAAAAGAAGTGCAGGATCTGATTTTGCCCATGTGGAATTGATTGGCTGGTTGGATGGTTGTGGTTTGCTATTGGTGGATCTCTTGTGAGTGACAGGTTGCCCCGCCCTCACGCCAGTAAAGGCGTCATTAGAGAAAAGCGATGTTGCTGCAAGAGGGAGAGGAAGTTATTTTGATTAAAGATTATAAGGCACATGAAAAATGATGTGCATGGATAAATCAGTTATGATAAATACTTTAATATTCCATAAGAATAATTTTGATTTGATGGTGATTTTAAACACGTTCCTCAGTGTGCTTTTTCAACTTCTGTATTAAAATGAGCTCTATTATGATTGGTTGTAATTGGCTAATTTATGTGCACGTGAAATAACTCTTCAAGTCCCATACATTAAATGTCTTGTTTCATTCAGAAACATGTCAGATTATAGAAGTAAAACAGGAGCTGAACACCGTTGCATGTCGACTTCATGGAATGCCGGATGCATGTGTTCGTCTTATCCGGTCCATAAGGTTGTTGACCTGTGTCTGTTTAGAGTTAATGTGTAAGATGCCTCCATTACTTGAGTTCAATCACAACCCACTGCACGGCTAAACTGTTTTCAGCATTCCAGTGTAATAGTAAAGCCGAAGTGATGATTCATGGTGCCTTTGAGCCCTCAAACTGAAAAAGACTCAAACATTTGAATAACAACCATAAAAGTTGCATCTGTGTTGGTGTGCTGGTTTCTAGGAAAGGATTCCGCTGTTTAGTATGTGGAGCAGTGATGGATGAAGCGACCATAAAGATGCAGCTGGAGGTGTTTCTGAGCTGCTCCTCACTGAGCCACTGTACTGTCAAAGTCAAGGTGAGATGCTTTCACCTGCTTTATGTAGAAAACCTTTATTCACATAACTGTAATGAGAATTAAATATTTTCACATTATGCGTTAGTAATGGGAATGGGGTGAAAATTAGGTCCAAAAATCAGTAGTGCATTTTATGTCAAATATTTTTCTTTCTTTTTTTTTCCCCGCCGGCCTCTTCAAGATAGGTTTCGTGAAATTCTAATTTTACTCTCCTTAAAAACAAACTCTAAGACATCTGTATCTACATCTCAAATTACGTTAGAAGGATGAACATAAACACTCAAGAAAGTGAAGCTAGCACGATTTAATCACTCGTGCAGAAACTAGTGTGTCATCGAGAGTTTATCTTCATTCTGTTTTATTTCCTGGAAATTTCAGCGATAGCGGAGGGCCGCATATTATGGAACAGATTTAGCAAGATATCTCTGGTATGTTATCAGAAATGTGTTTCACACCCACCACAGAACTGGAATAAACTTAAGCATACTATACTATTTTGGACCACTGAGTAACTGATGCATGAAAGGGAAAGTTTATATATTCTGCTCTTAAATGTCAGATTGCTTTTTATTGTTATTTTCACTTGTTTCTTCAAGAAGCACCAAAACTGATTGTCTTAATAAAGTCTAAATTAATATTGATTCTCTTAATACTAAGCTATTTTTTAATGCGTTTGATTGATCCAACTATCCTCGTGTAAAAGAAGCAGTGCATTTACATAAATAAAGCCTTTGGATGATCTTGTCTAACGCTGTCGAGTGCAAATTTCTCAAAATGCTCCATTAGACGAGGTCAGGCAGGGTTGATTTCCGGAGTCTAAATGATTTCCGTCGGTGTCTGTAGGATAACAGAAAATATTAATGTTTCATATAGTATTCCTGCCACATTGTGTGAATCAAATTATGATATTAATGCGTTCATGTGCATGTTTCAGTTGCAGCAGAAGACCATTAATTCTCTCCTGAACTCGACAAGGTGTCCTGAGGTAAGATTCTGGCCTAGACTGAAGTCACTCTGTTTCAGTTTTTAATTGAGAGTTAATTGTTTGTTTGTTTTGTGTGATCTGTTTGTTTGACAGGGTTACAGTGTGGAAAATGTCCTTGGGTCGGAAGTCGGTCCTCTCGGCACCTTCGTCCACGTGGTGAACAGAAGTCACACAGTTTGGATGGGTTTGGAGGAGTTATCCTTTGACCTGCACTGACTAGCACACTCATCTGTTAATATCTTGTCTTGCCTTACTTCCAGATGTATGTAAATAAACAAAAGGAAAAAAGGGCATAGTGCCAGAATAACTCTACCACCTGAACCAAATTACTTTCTGAACGATCATTCTGGACCCTGTAGTTTTGAAACCACAATCTAATTAATATTCGTATGAAAGATGCTCATGTGATGCCCAGTATAAGCTGGTAAAATACCTTTGTTGTTGTCAATCAATTGCCAAAAGTTGCTTCTCGCCACATTATGGTGGTTTAAGTTTATTATTTGAACAAAAAAGAAAGTTTAAACAAGCTCTGATTGATGTATTGCTCTCTATGACAGTTGAATACCTACATTCACTATAAATAAAAAGTGGTATGCCTCCAAATAACTGAAGTCATTTTTTTTGCACAACCATTTCAAAAGATAATTTTTAAATGTCTGATAACTGATTATTTTGACTGATAATTTTATTCCTACTTCTTGACTCACTGATAATCATTACACTACAACAATACTCATTTGTATATCACATATGCCTTATGGACATTTGTATTATGGTTAATGATTATTATTATTTATGCCAGTGAATTGATTCACATTAATGAATCTAGGGCCATGTCTAACTGTAAACTACTATAAAATGCTACATCTTTCCCACTTGACAACAAATGACTTTAAAGTAAAAGAATATTTATAGTTATTGTAAGCAATAAATACATTAAGTATGCTTCACATGTGAATACCATTGTTTTTTGTTGTTGTTTTTTTTATGTAAATTGCTGCTCAATTCATCAAGCACTTAAACGTTCACCTTTGTGGTAATTTTTACCAACTTATTTTTAAAAGCAGAAACAGCAGCTTCGAAATTTGTTGTAGAACAAAACATGAATGTGTCTCTCTAATGTTTACCGCAAACATTACTTTACCCATAAATCCATAATCGCTATTCCTTAAACCCCATATGACAATCGTTGAACTGATTGACAGCTGGACCTTTCAAAGGACCACGCCCCCTCAGACCCGCCCCCGTGCAAACATGCGCGTTCACATATGGATCTTTTTGAAATTTGACGTCGTTTTATTATACATTTGTACACACTGTACAATTTCAAACATGCTCTGGCATTAATACGAAGTTTTGGGGAATTATAAAACAAGTACCATAAAAACATATATGAAGCTTTTTTCTGTAATAATTTAGAATACAAAAACATTCACAAAAGTAATCACGACACCGTGCGGTGCCAAAGTCCATCATCCAATGCGTAACTTAATGCACGTCTGCTACAGAAGAACATAGTAATTCAAGTTCACTGAGGTATGTTTTGGCAGGTTTTCTGACGCGCGTCACCGACTGTCAACAGCCGCGCGTGCCGCCGTCCCAAACGAAAGTTCGGGTCTCTGTTTGAAGAAGTTTCTGAGGCTGCCTAGTTCTCGCGACAGCTGATCGATCGTTTTGTGCAGGCGTTCGTTCTCCGCGTTCAGCTCGATCATCTTATGCTGCATCTCCATGTTGCGCTGCTTCGCCTTGTCCCTGCTTTTACGCACGGCGATGTTGTTCCTCTCGCGCCGCTGCCGATACTCGTTGCTGTGTCTGTCGACAGTCTTTTTGCCCTTTTCCTTCCCCGGCCTCCTGTGGCTAACGGGTTCTGGCTCAGGTGTGGTGGGAGGTGTGGGTTGTCCCGTGTGCATGAGGCTCACGGACGTCTGCGCGCACGTCTCGATCTGAGATGGTAAGGATGAGGATTGGTCGCTGTCGCTCCAGTCCGACTCCCTCTTGATCGGTGCGCAAAACGCGCCCTTGCCAAACCCCCCGTCCTGGTGCTGAAGCCTCTCCGAGCTCTTTTGCGCAAAGCCACCGATGCTCTGCGTGTAAAAGTCAGGCTTTTCTTGCTTCATGGTGTTGTTGAACAGGTCTGCAAAGAGCTCGTCGTTGCAGATCTCCAGCGGGACCGTGGACATGGACTCGATGTAGGTGCTGAAGTCGATCGCGCTCTCATCGTCGTAGATGGCAGGAGCATTACTGAGCTCCATCATGCTGCTGCTGGTGTTGTTGTTGTTGTTGTTGTTGTTGTTGTCCTGGGACATGCCATGCTCGCCCCCGGGTTTTGCATCCCCTGGCATCACTTTATTATCATAGAAATTGGCAGGCTCCATGGCCCAGCTCATGTTGCATGGTGGCGTTACGCACTGCGAGTCCAGGTTGTATATGTCAGACATGGACGTAGCGAAACTCACTCAGATGGTACCAAAATCAGCAGATCCCTTCCGAGTCCACTGGCAGCTTAAAAAACCCAAAAGCGTCTCGAGCAATCACACCCTGTTTCGCGCAACCAGCGCGTATCTCCAAAAGTCTGGCTGTCTCGGGCACAGGTGTTAAAGTCCTCGTAGCTCTCTATCGAAACTCCGCCGTCCTCGTGCATAAGTACTAGCGCTCGGCTTGCGTCACAGCATCGACGCCCCCTTCCAGAAGCCAGTGAATGTCCAGAGGCTGTCACGTGTTCCGCCCGGGCTCCTATTTGAGGAGAGTCGGGTGTGCATGAACGCCTACCAGCACACGAGAAGACACACTTCAAGAACTGTCAGAACTTGGTGTTGGAGCAGGACATGTTTGAATGCGTATGCATGCGTGGAAGAGAAAGTCATTTAATGCGCCACTACCAACATACATGTGTAAATACGAATAAATTTTTTTGAGAAACTAACTTAAAAAACTTTATGTTGTAGGACATGTTTGAATGCGCCACTACCAACATACATAAATAAATAAATACGAATGAAAGCATTGAAAAACGAACTTTAAATACTTTATGAGAGACGTTTATTCTTTGTATTTTGTTTATTGTGTTGTCTCTGTAAAGCTGCGGGACGGACAGAGTCCAAAACAAGTTTGCCTTCGGGGACAATAAAGTATATCTTAAAAAACTTTTATGTTGCAGGACATGTTTGAATGCGTATGTATGTGTACAAAGAAGGATCGGTGAGAGAAAACTATGGTAATGCGCCATTACTAGCATACCTAAATAAATAAGTAAAAATTGATTTTTGGTTTATTATTATTGTTATTTTTAGCTGTAGTAGTAGTGTCTGGTCTGAGCTGTTATACCACAGCTGTTCTTTTCATCTGGGTGTTTATTTTATTTTAGAAGCACACATTGAACGTACAAATTCAGTACAAAAAGAATATCACGAAATACAACAAAGGAACAAGAATCCGATTAAAGCAAAGGGAATCAAAAGAAAATCGTTTTCTAAGGGACGTACAGTTGTTGTTCTACAACATTGTCACATACTACAATCACATACTAGTACATTTGCCCCATCGAGGCACTTTATCTTGTCAACCACATAGACATCTAGTGGATGTCAGAGGAATTACCTCTATTTACTCTGTGTTGATGTTTTTTCCCGCGAAAACGTCGGACTATACCAAACAGTTGATGGGATTCGTTAATGTCACCCCTTCTATAATTGTCAGTCTGCAATTAAGAACGTTTGAAAAAGAATTTTCTTTCATCTTAAACATATATAATTTCAATTTTATTGCGTAATCTAAGACATAACGATTTTTATATGATTTATGTACCCACGTATCGCACTTCTCCCCCTCTCGACTGATAATGAGGAGCCTATTCTTGGTTGGTCAAAATTTCCCCGCGAAATTTACGTCACAGTCAGTTTCGCGCCACCATTCACATCGGAAGGGAAACAGTGCGAACGGTAAGTGTTATGTTATAAACTAACCGTATTTTAATAAAGTAAACGTAATCACGAGGACCTGAACATGATCTTGATCAACCGGGCGTTAACATAGTGTGTTATGGTTTAAAATAATGGTTATTTTGTATTCTAGTTTAAAGACTCGGTAATGCCATTGTATGAGATGCAGCGTGCTGCTGCTGTTCGCAGATTCACTGTTACAAAGTTACTATTCATCCTTCTTTCCTTCTTAATAAAACCCACATATTCCTTTGGCTTTCCCAGATGTGTTTACACAATTAATCTTAGTTATGTTCTTTTGTGTTGATTTACACGTAGTTTAAATATGAAGTCTGTGTCTGGTTTATTGCCTGTGAATCTCATGCAAACATTAGAATTATTTTAGAGTCTGTTGGCAAAATGAGTGTTGATAATTTGTTTCTATTCATTTTTTTGTGATGCATTGATATTTTTCTTTTCACAGTGATCATGATAATGATATCATTTGTTTTCTTTTGGGGGAAAAAATCATAGGCCTGTTGTCAATACAAAAATATTGACAGTTTATAAAAACTATAAAAGTCAGAAGTCATTAAAGTATAAGATATATATATATATATATATATATTTTATATGCTAAACTATATTTTTAGGTGTCATTATTACAGTGCAATTTTATATTTAAGTACTGAGTAATATTAATTAACAACATGTACATACTATGGGCTTAGAATTAGGTTTGGTTTAGGGTTAGTTGCATGTAATTATGCATAATTTACTGTTATTACTATGGAAAGTACATGTAACAAGGACACTGAAAAATAAAGTTACCTAAACATGCACCTATTAGAATTTTTATGAACTGAAATTAAGGTTAAATTAAATTGTTTAGATAATGTAATATTTAATGATTCAAATAGTTTAGACATTTTGGTTCCAGGTCATTAATTTTGAGTTTTAACTTTTCAGTTTTGAGTCAAGATGTCTTCACCATCATCTCAGAGCCGTAAGAGAGACCCTCCGACCCGTGAGTCCACACCATTCACTATATGCTGGCATGCATGTGGTTTTTAATTCTTAGTATTTTCTCATCAGGTTTGTCTTTGACCGTTGCTAACCAGGTTTGTGTGTTTGCAGCCGCGAGCGAGGACCCCCTCTCCCCGCCGTCTCAGCGCTCCAGAGCCCATGACACGTCCACAGAGCTTCAGCCCATGCCCACATCTCCACCCATGGACACCTCGCTGTTCTCCAGCCCTATGGCTCCACGCTCTGGTACGACTCAAACTCAACATCATATTTGCATTGAAATGAATTGCTCGTGCATTTGAATTGGGGGAAGGTCTCTAAACATCAGGATTTGTTTCATCCAGTCCTGCAGAGTGAGATCGATGCCAGTTCTCCGCTGATGTACGGCACTCCCAGCTCCAGGGTGGAAGGAACGCCCCGCAGCGGCATACGCGGGACACCGGCACGGCAGCGGCCTGACCTGGGATCTGTGCGGAAAGCCCCGCAGGTCGACATGCACTCCGAGCCGGTGAGGGAAAGTCCTTATTGTTTGTCATTTAGTTTTAGAGTTGAATCTTTTCATTTTTGACTCCCTGGGTGAGTTTTTAATAAATGTAAGGGATAGTTCACCGAAAAATGACAATTTTGTAATTTACTCACCCTCAAGTTGTTCCAAACCTGTGTGAGTTTTAGTGTTCTGTTGGAGGAAATAGTTGGAAAAGGATTTTTCTCAAATAGTTGAGGAGATTCACCCCTTCCATGTAAAGTGCTTTGAGTGCCGAGAAAAGCGATATATAAATGTAATGAATTATTATTAACATTTTTCAAAATATATTTTTGGGTTAACTATCCCTTTAAATTTAAAACCCATAACCTCATATATATATATATCATGTGTCTCAATGGGACATTTCCTGTTTAAATAAAGGTTATATATATATATATATATATATATATATATATATATATATATATATTTTTTTTTTTTTTTATGGTCTTATAAGTGTTAATATTTTACTGTGTTTTAAGTGTATGGACTTATTTTTGTGGTTTGTTCATGAGCTTCAATCAGGGTGTGATCAAAGACAAACACTTTTTTTCCCATTCAATATGACTATACGAAAAAAAAAATAACAACGGTGGTTGGTATTATTCATATGATAATTTTATTATTTAAATTAAAAAAATTCAACAAATTAAAATAAAAAAATTAAACAGATTATTAAAGAAATATATCATTGCAATAATACTATTGTACTGGGTCATATTTAAGGTTGAAAAATGCAGAAATCATTTGTTCATTGGAAAAAAAGCTAAAGTAAAATATAAATGAAACTAAAATGAGAAATGTTCCCATGGCAAGTAAAAATTAAATGTTTAATTTGAAGCACTAAAATTGCAGACTGGAAATAAAAACTGAATAAAAAATTACGTAATAACAAAATGACTTAAAATTTAAAATAAACACTGAAAATATAAAAAATATAGTTAATTTAAAATATTAATAAATATAATGGTGTATAGATGGTATACAGAAATGAACTGCAATAGCATATAATGGTAAAATAACACTAATTCATATAAATACAGAACAATCACATCCATAAAAATCGATATGTATAATTTGTGTGTGTGTGTATGGTGATTTTCAGCCGTCTGGAGACGCAGCGGCCGGCAGTGAACAGGGGACAGGAGCCGCGGGACAGAGGCTGGTGATCTGGGGGACTGATGTCAATGTGGGAACCTGCAAGGAGAAGTTTCAGGTGTGGCTGAAATCTGAGTAACTACACCCATCCACAGATGACTGACAAAAAGCTTGTCTTGTCCATGGCTAAATGACCTTTTGTTGAGAATCTGTGTTGTTGTTTTTTCAGCGTTTCCTTCAGCATTTCACAGACCCCAACTCCAAAGAGGATGAGAATGCTGGTCTGGATCTGAATGAGCCTCTCTATATGCAGAAACTGGATGAGGTGAGAAGTGCATTGCTCATTAGAAAGGCTCAAAAGTGGTCGCTTGGATATGAAGTAGTTCATGTTTGGTCATGCAAAATCCTTAATAACCAGTTCTTGTGTAATAATATTGAAGATTTGTTTGTGTTCTCAGATCAGTGTTGTTGGAGAGCCGGTATTGAACGTGAACTGCTGTCACATTCAGACTTTTGACGCTGATCTCTACCGCCAGCTGATCTGTTATCCGCAGGTAAGACCAACCGCAGCGTCAGGTGAAATCAGCCCAATATTTACACATTGACGCTACCGTTCAAAAGATTCGTCTCAGTAAGTGCGTTTTATTCGGAACCTGGTGCATTTTCTGCTTTAGTTTAGAAATTCATTAATTTAGGCATATATGAACATGCTAAAATCACGCGCTCAGATTCACAGCAAAACAATTGGTCCAAGATCACCTGAACCAGGTGGAGAGGTTCGCTTGTGGCGAGAAAACAATCTGACCCACGGACCAGGCTGTTGGTCTGTTAAGAAATGTTGCCTTGTGAAGAAGAAATTGCAACATTGTGACAATTTAAATCCCTGTTTCAGAACAAAGCAAATATTCTACAGGTCTGAACATGCGCTAATATATATATATTTTTTTTTAAGTAAGTCTATTCTTCAAGGATTCATTAAATTGACCAAAAGTGACAGTAAAGACATTTATATAATGTTACAAAAGATTTATATTTCAAATAAATGTTTTTTGGACTTTCTACTTATCAAA